GCCATAAGAAGAGATTGGTAACTTTCTTTTTATAAAAAACAGATATAAAACAGAGGCAAAATCAGGTATTTTAGGGCGCTAGAAACAAAACAGAAGCAAAAACAGTTTGAGAAGAATTTATTCTTAAAAAGCTAGCAATGGTTTGAGTGAGTACAATGAGTCTGTGGTCTTCTTCCTTGGACTTTTCCCATCTGCCCCTGTCTCCATTTTCTCAGCTCTGATGATAAGAAGTATGATTTTATCAAAATATGGCTGAACATGAGAACTAGCAACTCTCCTTTCAGAGGGAGTGGCCCTGATTTGGAGTACAGGGTGAAAAATCACAACTTTGCCAACTAGAAGTGACAAACATGGTTAGGAGTGAATGGAAAGAGTTCATAGCTCTGCTAGCCAGAGGTTGCCGTGCCTATTGGGGTGAGGTGGATCTGCCAAAAACTTAATGGGAAAATCCTGAAAATAAGACAGCTAAGATAAGCTCTTCATATATCACTGGCTGACTGGGGAACCTACCTGCATATGCAAGAGAAATCCAAGAATGCCTGATCAAAAGTAAAACTTAGGGAATGCTTGAGAATTATCTGCAACTTTGAATGCATTCCTCACGCCATACAAAGATAGATTAGCAGAGGACAGAGTTTCATGGTTTAAGGTGTCTGAACAACCTCTACCTACATCATTGTCTGACTATTAAGCAGTACAGATATAAGAATGATCCTTAGGAAACCAAGCTAATATAAAAACAAGAGTAAGAAAACTGAGCAGAGACATCAGCAGCAACATACTATGAAGTCAGATTCTGTGGACCCATGTAAGTTACTAAAAATAATCAGTGGCCCATCAGAGTTGCTACAGTGTATCATCTAAAATGTATAGTTTTCAATCAAGTATTATGAGACTTGTAAGGAAAGAATCAGGAAAGTGTGACCCACCCACATTTGGGGAAGAAATTAGTTATAGGAATAAATTCTAAGTGGGCTTAACAATTAGCTATAACAAAGACTTCAAGGTAACTGTTAAAAATAAGCTTAAAATTTAAACTAACTCTTGCGTTTTAAAGAAAAATGAGATGACAATAATTTAACAAACAGGGCTGAGCACTGGTGGCTTATGGTTGTAATTTTAGCTACTCAGGAGGCAGAGATCGTGGTTCAATGCCAGCCCAGGCAAATAGCTCAAGAGACCCTATCTTGAAAATACTCAACATAAAACAGGGCTAAAGGGGTGGCTCAAGTGGTAGAGTGCCTGCCTAGCAAGTATGAAACCCTGAGTTCAAACCCTTATACTAACAAAGAAAAAAAAAAAGAGGAAAATAGCTTTAACCACTTTTATTCAACATTGTATTGGCAGTCTCAGCCAATGTGATAATGCAAGAAAAAGAAATGAGAGAAATTCAGATTGGAAATGAAGAAGCAAAACTGCGTTTATTCACTGATAATACCATCATCTACCTGAAAAATTCCAAAGAATCTAGCAGAGTATTGTGGCTCACACTTGAAATTCTAGCTCCTTGGGAAGTGGAGATTGGGAAGATTTTGGTTTGAGGCAAGCCAGAGCAAAAAAGTTAATGAGACCCTATGTCAATAAGTTTGGCTTAAAGACCCTCCACCAAGCTATGCAGGAGGCCATGAATAGGAGGATCATGGTCTGAGGCTGGCCCCAGGCAAAAACACAGGAGCCTACCTGACAAATAACTAAAGCAAAATAAAAATAAAAGGCCTGGTGGGGGAGGGTGATGGGCCTTGGGTAAAGTAGTAGAATGCCTGCCTAGCAAGTGTGAGGCCCTGATTCAAATCTCAGTATCAAAAAAAAAAAAAAAAAAAACCATCCAAGGAATTGATGTAAAGTTTAGCAAAATTGTAGAATATAAGTTAATATACAAAAAACAATTTTGTTTTTATGTTAGCAATGAGTAATTGGAAATTAAAGTAAAAATGTATAACATCCAAAAAATAAAATACTTACAAATAAATTTTGACAAAAATATATGCAAGAACTGTATACTGGAAACTATAAAAAATTGCTGAGAGAAACTAGAGAACTAAGTAAATGCATATACAAACCATTTTAATGGGTTGATTAGTACTTTCTCCAACTCCTAGACCCCTTCAGGTCCCTCTGGAATCTTATTTGAGAATAGAGTGTTTGCAAATGTAATTAGTTAAGAACCTCAAAATGAAATCATCCTATATTTAGGACATGCTCTAAAACTAATGACTGGTGACTTTACAAGAGAAAGGAAGGAGAGGCAGATTTAGACAGCAGAGACAATAGGAAGAAGACCATATGAAGATGGAGACAGAGATTAGAGTTATATTGCTACAAGCCAAGGAGTAAGAGCTTCTGAAAGCTGAAAGCTGGAAGAGGCAAAAAAGGATTCTCTTTTAAAGCCTCCAAGAGGACTATGGTCTTGCCAACACCTCGATTTCAGACCTCTAGTCTCTAGAGCTATGATAAATTTTTGTTGTTTTAAGCCACCAAGTTTATGGTAATTTGTCACAGCACCTCTAGGAAGCTAATACAGCCATGTTCATGGATTGGGACCTAAGATTATCAGAATGATTTTGAAAAGAATACAATGTTGGAGGACATTATAAGAGGATATGTAAGAGTTATTATAATGCCACAGTAATCAAAGCAGTGGTGTTGGTGTTTTAATATACTAAGACAAGAAACAAAGTAGAGTCCATAAAAAGACCCATATATACCAAGGCAACTTAATGGGGAAAGGTGAATTTGACCAAAGTATCATTTATGTGCATGTATGGAAATATCACAATGATGGTTTGCAGAGTGGCTCAAGTGGAAGAGTGCCTGCCTAGCAAGCATGAGGCTCTGAGTTCAAACCCCATACTGCCAAAAAGAAAAGAAATAATCACAATGAAACCTCCTTGTACAATTAATATATGCTAAAATATTTTTAAAAAGGAAAGTTAACATGCCCTTGTGTATAACCAGCAATTCTACTCCTACCCAAGATATATTAAAACATGTTTGCAGAAATATTTATATTCAAACATTTGTAGCAGCTTTATTTATAATAACTGAGGACTAAAAATAAGTCTCCATCAATATATGAATGGAAAACAAATTTTGATATATCTCTATAATGGAATACTACTTAGTACTTAAAAAAGAATGTACACTGATACATACAATGCTATCTGTGACTCTCAAAAACATGTTGAGTAAAAGTAGCCAGAACAAAAATAGAATGCATCTGATTTATTTTATATGAAATATAAGAAAACCCAAACTAATCTTACTGTGACAGAAAACATATCAGTAGTTGCCTGAGCCTGGAGGTAGAGGCAGGAACTTAATGAAATGGGTATGAATGAACTTTTTAGTCCAATAGAAATGTTCTCTCTCATAATTGTAGTTGCATGGGTAAATACATTTACCAAAAATTTGGCCTTATAGAGTTGAAATGTGTGCAGCTTATCTTATGTTTCCTCTAGGTTGATTTAAAACCAATCCTTGCCACCACCCTTGTTTATTCACTCATCATTTCTTATTTGGTTGAATCAATATACCAGTATTCCTGCTGTCACTTTTCTCCTTCAAGCCCATACTATATAAATGTGATCCAGAAGACAGACCTGAACTTGTCCTTTCCTACATATGGCCCTCTAATTGTTCACCACCATGGCTCCTTCAGGTGGCCTATAGTGCCTTCTGTCTGTCCTTTGCCTGTTTTCAAGCTCATCTTTCAGTTTGGTGTGGCTCTCAGTTCTTAACATGCACCATATTAGTTTAATTTCTTGTGCCTACACTCATTCTCTCCCCTGAGCCTTTTGTCTAGTAAACAACACTGTCATTGAAAACTCAGCTTAGGACTCTTATTGTCCAGGAAGTCTTTCTTTTTTGAAAATCACCCTTTTCTCTACCATCCCTTTCACCAAGGGAGAGGGAGTGAAATAACCTCAGATTGTTTCTTTGGGTCATCATAACCTTCACAGGTATGTGTACCATTTTGGCTTATGTTTTTAGTTTTCTCTCCTCCATTATTGAGCACAATGATTAGTTTTATCTTTTGGATCCACAAAGTTTATGTTCCATAATAGGGGTTCAGTAAGTATTTGTAGAATGACTCAATACAAATGTTAAGTAAAGAAGATAAAAGTATAAATAGTGTCCTTATTAATATTTTTTTCAACAAAACTTATTGAGGGTTGGGAATGTGGCTCAAAACTTATTGTGGACAAGGGAGGTATAAGGATAGGCAAGAAACCCAAAACCAAGATAGCATTTGATGTCCTCAATGCAAAGGAACTAATGCAGAAACTTTAAAGTGACAGAGGCCAATAGGAGAAGGGGACCAGGAACTAGAGAAAAGGTTAGTTCGAGAAGAATTAATTTAGAATGTAACACATATGTACAGGAAAGGAATGCGAGTCAACTCCCTGTATACCTATCCTTATCTCAACTAGCAAAAACCCTTGGTCCTTCCTATTATTGCTTATACTTTCTCTTTAACAAAATTAGAGATAAGGGCAAAATAGTTTCTGTCTGGTAGCAAGGTGGTGGGCAGGGGAAGGGGGGAGAAATGACCCAAACATTGTAGCACATATGAATAAAAGAAATAAAAAAAAAACAACGTTATTGTGGGTTGGGGATAGTAAGAGTGCATGCCTAGCAAGCACGAAGCCCTGAATTCAAACCCTAGTACTGCCAAAATAAAACTTTTTGTATAGAAAAAAAAGAGAGAGAGGATTTCAGTTAACTTTTTTTGCTGTTGTTGTTTTTGCAATTCTGAGGATTGAACCCAGGACCTTGCATATGCTAAACAGGTGTTCTACCATTGAGCTAAACCCCAGCCTTCATATCAACATTTTTTAACAGTAGTTTTCTTTGGGTGATAAAATTACTTTATTTAATATTTTTGATACTTTTGCATTTTCAAGAAATCATCTAATGTGGTATCATTTCATGAGACATAACCTGAGAAACTATAACTTAAAATTTTTTTCTGTTCACATTAATTATTTGTATTTCTTTAGGTTCACAAGACAGTTACAATTTCCAGTCTCTTAACCACAGACCTCACTGCAGAGATTCCTGTTTTGCCAAAAAGTTTATCAGTCCAACCCAGAACATCAGAGGATCCTGGTCCTACACCCAGCATTAACCAAGTAAAAAGTCCTGGGAAAATCCAAACGGCTATCCCTCTTCCAGTGGCTCCCTCCTACAGTGATGCCACCTCCGCTCCCCAGGCCTCTTTCCAAAGCACCTCAGCACCATACCCAGGTAAAGCCCTTTACTTCTGCCCTTTGGAGATAGGATGGGAAAGTGGAGAATTTGATCAAAGTGTTCCCTTTTAGAAGAGAGAACAGAGGGAGGCATTTTGTATAGTAGTTAGAGTAAAAATAACCTTGTCAGTGCCCCTGTAATCATAGGACTTGGGCCAAAGCTTCCTCAGTAGGTCACTGGCCAGTGGAATTTCATGAGGCTCATTTTCCCAGATTTTATTGTGACTTAAAGACATGAGATTCAGCTAAGTAATGTTCAAGCAATCAAGCAGACTGGTTGCTGGGGAAAAAAAGTTGGATCAGTGTACCTGTTTGCCTTCTGAAGGTTGGTTATAGGTCAGATATTTGTCTCTCTGAGTTTTAGAGCATTTAAATTTGTTTATTTAGCAGAACTGGGAATTGAACTCAGGGCCTCACATGTTAGGCAAGTGCTCTACCACTTGAGCCACTGCCCCAACCCTTTTTCTTTTTTGAGATAGTGTCTTGATGACTTTGCCAGATCTGACCTCCAACTTGCAATCCTTCTGTCTGCCTCCTGAGTAGGTGGGATTGCAGTTTGTACCACCATGCCCATCTGAGCATCTTTTTTTTTTAAGCAACACATGGGAAGGAGATTTATACCTAGAGTGTTGCCTTAACAAGTCTGTGCATCATGGGCACAGCTCTGAAGAATTAGGAGTAAATGGTTAATCAGTGGTTAATGGTTAACCATGAAAAAGTCAAGAGGGTGACACAAATCTAAGTGAAAAAAATTTTTGCCAAATTTTAATTTTGTAAGGTCTCCTTTGGTGATAACCTAACATGAAGTTTTAGGGTTTCAATGCCAAGGTACAAAGTAACTTTTGTATTCATGCAGAATGTCTATAATTTTTTCTGTATCAACTAGCTTTTTTTTTTTTTTGTCTGTTGTACTGTCTGAATATAATGGTTTCCTGTTTTTCTTTTTCTTTTTCTGAGAGTCACTCAAAGAGCTCTTATTTCATCTCTTGGGCATCCCAGAGGCTATAGCTTCCTTAAAGGATGATTTCGTTTTTCTCCATGTCCAATGTTCCCAAGCAGAGGCAGATAAATCTCAAGTTTTATATTTATCTAGGAAGCCCTTCTCACCTCTCAGTCTTGAAATATGAGCTGACCAACCTTTGTTTGCTTTAAACTCTTCTAGTGTTGAGCTTTCATGCCAAATGAGCAATTATTGTCAGAGAAAGATTTATATAATCAGTGTTCTCAATAGTCTGCAAATGTGTTTGTTTGCTGTTAACTGGGGCTTGGTTCGTACTACTGACATCTAGTGGGTAAGAGGCCAGGGATACTGCTAGCTGTCTTACAGTCTTTAGGACACTCTTCTGGGTCCAAAATGTCAGTAATGCCCAACAAAGCATTATCTGGTCCAAAGTAACAAAAATGCCAAGGTTGAGAAACTCTGACATATATTAGATAGCTGATGAATGGTATAAGGAAGTATATAGTTATTTGCTGTCTTGGATGTTCCAAAAATGCTAAAGTTGCTCAAGAAGTGGATTAGTTTTTACTAAAATGGTCTAGGAAGATTTCTTCAAGAGGAGACAGTTTTTAAGCTAGAAACAAAATGCTGTATTTAGAATATAGAAAGGCAAGCATTCCAGCCGAAAGAAATAACTTTAGCAGAGCCAGTAAGAGTAGTCCAAAGCTTCTATGGGGCACATGTATCTAGAGGCAGAATTGGGTGGGAAGGTTGAGATCAGATGATGACGGTTCTCATGTCAGGTTAGGAGTTTGACCTTAAACTTGTGTGAGAGTAGGAGTCTTAAGTAGGAGAATAACATTGTAGGTAAGTATTTTAGATAGACCAATGGTGGTGGTTATAAAAGGAAGGGATTGGAGTGGGGAGAGCTCATAGAATTAATATTATTGGAATAATTTAATTGTGAACAATGAGTCAGTAGTTGTAGCAGTTAGAATGGGAAGAAAGTAAGGTAGGTCTTGTCAGAGACATTTGCCCTTTTTTTTTTTTGCATCACTGGGATTTGAACTCAGGGCTTCATGCTTTCTAGGCAGGTGCTCTTACCACTTGAGCCACTCCACCAGCCCCTGCCTTTCTTATTTATGTGTCTTTTTAAAAGTTACTCATCTGCTAAAGTGATCCTTGAATCAGCATGTGAACTCTTTTGAAAGTAGTATATAAAGCAGACAGGGTAGAGCTTATTTAAAATACAGTGGAGGAAAAGTAGAATAATCTGGTGTCATAATATCCAAGAGCTTTAAGAAGGAGGCTATCAGCAGGAGAAGGTGCCATCAAGGTGACAAATGGATATTGAGACACAGTTGTTAGATTTGGTAGGAAGCAGCTCATCGATGATCTTGAGAGATTTTTTCTATGGAAAAATGAATGTAGAGTCAAACTTCAGGGGATTAAAAGGTAGAAAACAATTAGTAAATGAAGGCCATTGCTGAATATTGTTCAGAAAAGGAGTTTGAAAGGAAAGAGAAACTGTATAGTCTGAATGTATTTCTTATCTCTAATATATTTACTTTGTTTCCAGTTGTAAAGGAACTGGTGGTATCTGCTGGAAAGAGTGTCCAGATCACGCTGCCTAAGAATGAAGTTCAGTTAAATGCATATGTTCTTCAAGATCCACCAGAAGGTAAAAATCACTTTATACTTGGATAACATTTCAATTTACAATGACATTCACCTCAACTCATTTGTTCTTTATAACACACTTGTGAGAATCGGATATAGCATGGATATAGTGGGTATACAAATATAAGAGGCAATATAATACAGGGCTTGAGATCAAAGACTGTGTATGTGTGTATTGCTGGGAATGGAACCCAGGGCCTTGCCCATGCTACGTCAGTGCTCTGCTACTGAGCCCTCCCCCTCCTCTGCTGAGTCATAGGCCTTGATGTCAAGCCTGGATTCAAATCCCAGTTCAGCCAGTCATTAGCTGAATAGCTAATGATTTCCCTGAGTTTCTATTTCTCAGTAAAATGGGAGTAATAATTCCTCCTTTCTAACTTTACTTTAAGGATAAAATGAGTTAGTATATAAGTGACTTAGTTCAGTGCGTAGCCTATAGCAGATACCTATTAGTGTAGGTCTTATATATTAGGTTGTATTATACCCAAAGAGGAACAAAAACAAACTGAGGGTTCAATTCCCAGCATCCAAAAAAATAAACAAAAAAAAAAAGGAAGAAATTGAGACTTAGATTAAGCTATTTATTATGGCCAAAACAAGACAACTGCTAATACAGGTTTGTCATTTAAAAAATATCTATCCTCACCAGGTGCTGGTGGCTCAGATCTGTAATCCTAGCTACTCAGAAGGCAGAGATCAGGAGGACTGAGGCTCAAAACTAGCCTTCAAGACTCTATCTTGAAAATTACTAACACAAAACAGGGCTGGCAGAGTGGCTCCAGTGGTAGAGCACATGCTTAGCAAGCGTGAAGCCCTGAGTTCAAACCCTAGTACAACTAATTTGTGATATATAAAATTCAAATTTGTGCTGGGTGCTGGTAGCTTACTACTGTAATCCTAGCTACTCAGGAGGCAGAGATCAGGAGGATCACAGTTCGAAGCCAGCCTGGGCAAATAGTTCGTGAAACCCTATCTCGAAAAAACCCTTCACTAAAGAGGGCTGGTGGAGTGACTCAACGTGTAGGCCCTGAGTTCAAACCCCAGTACTGCAAAAAAAGAAAAAAGGAAAAGAAAAAAAATTCAAATTTATAAAATATATAAGTGAATTGGTAGTGAATTCACTATTTAAGAAAACTTTTGTAATGTAAATATCCTTTTCACCTTTGAAGTATATTTTAATATATTAAAGTTTGATTTATAAATACAAACATTTTCTTTTTAAAATTTTTTTAAAATTAGAATACATTAATACAGGGGATTTCATTGTGATAAATCCCTACATGTCTACATTGTACCTTGAACATGGTCACCCTCAAAATTCTTCCCCCCCCACCTTTTTTTTTGTCAGTACTGGGGTTTCAACTCAGTGCTTTACATTTGCAAGGCAGGTGCTCTACTGCTTGAGCCACATCTCTAGTAAACATATTTTCTTAAGACTACCTATGATATAAGTGAAGCATTAGAAAATGGTTGGGTTGGGTTTATGTTACTCTCCTTGAAAGACTGGTCAAGTAAAATGCTCTTACCTATTCAGGCTGGATCCTTCCATTTTATATATAAATGTTTCCAATACAATATTCTTAATTTTGTGGTCTAATATTAAATAATGCATGTATGCAAAATGTACTTTTCCAGACCCCCTAGTCCCCACCTTATTCTGTATTTCTGCTGTTAAATTGAGGTTTCTTTATAAGAGTTCATCCCACTTTGCTTTAGAGAAGCTCTTTCCTTTCTTCCTTAAGATGAATGGATTTGGTGGCCCTTGAAGATGGATGTAGGAAACATTTTCCTTGAGCAGTGGTTATTTCTGCTGTTTTTTGTGAAAGATGTGCTGTGCTCTGATATATAATTTTTTTTTTTTTTGCTATTTGTTTTCTTGCGGTATGGGGTTTGAACTCAGGGCTGTCTTGCTAGACAGGTACTCTACCACTTGAGCTATACCTCCAGCCCAATACATAATTTTTTTTTTTAAAGTACCGGGGAATGAACCTAGGATCTCATGCCTCCTAGGTAAGTATTCTATCCATACTCAGGCCTTTTTTTTTTTTTTTGTCTAGCCTGTATTTACATATACATTTTTCCGAGATACTGTCATTTTGTAAATCACTATTCCAAAATATATCACTTCAGAAACAGATTCCTTTCAACTATTTTCTGCCCAGATTTTACAGCCTTAATCAGATACATGAGATGGATAGTTTCAAACTTTCAGAGGTTGGAGGTAATGAGGCAGGGTCAGCTCTGCATGCTCTTCATCCTGCTTCTGCTCTGTGGCAGACCATTGGGATCCCTGTAGGGTTTGTAGGTCTGGTTTCAAAACCACTGCTCTGATATAGCCAGCATTCTGTCTAACAGACCTACACTCATTCAAGTTGCTTCTGCCATTGGGCGAATTTCTCTCCTGAGTTTTCTGTCCTAGGAATATTGTCCTTTTGTGAAATTTATTGCTAGCCTCAGATATTATACAACTATCATTTCCCAAACTAGTGCAAGTCTGTTTTCTGTATTGAAAAAAAAAATTCAACTGTAGTTGGAAGAAATGTGTCTTAGTATGAGTCCTGGTTCTGTTGCTATTTTCCTGTCTCTTCTGATCTGCATATATGTCTGGGAGAGCAGCTAACAGAGGGCCAAACCAATACCAGTTTGGTAGAAGAAGAAAGATCTTGAATCCCAGGCTTATAAAATAAAATCTGGTCTTTAGATGAAGGGGATCTTAGAATTAGGTTCTGTGTGCTAACTTTAACATTTGAGCTCATGAAATTAAAAAATGATCATGTTCTACTAAGCATTTGAGATTTCATTTTTTTCTCTTTTGGGTAGTAACTTAAACTAAACCTTCCTGCCAAATCCTACCCTTACCTTGCCAGAAATGCATTTTGGTCCAAAGGAAAAAAATTCAGAACACTTTTACTGGGGAGGGACTCCATTTAGATAAGAGAATTCTACCCTTGCAGTATCTGGTGATACAGTCTGAACTGCAAATGAGGACCATTTAATGCTTCATTTGATCTTAATTAATTTCAGTGGGGCCTGTTTTAAATGGGCCATGCCCTCCCATCTTCGAAGTGTGTTATTTAGCTCAGCAGGAATGAAGTAGCTCTTTTAACTCACCAGGGTGTGATGACCTCAGTGAGATGAGCATTGTTAGCACTCTGTAAAAAGCTATTTTTGAACCATGTTATTTAGAAGTCATTGCTGTTCTTTGTTGCAAAAGAATTTTGCAAGAAAATGGCCTTTGTTCCCAGTGTGTTTATCTGCAGTGGTTGGTAGAGCATGCATTTCCAGTGAGATGCACATGATGAGAGTCCTGGTATTTTTAGGGAGGATTGGCCTAAAGGTTGGTAAGGGTCAGGAATGAGCACAGTTAAGTAGAAGAAGCCCTGATTATAGTTGAATCAGTAGAATCCACCCTTTCTTTCACCAGATACATTGGTTTCCCTACGAATTTTGGGGCATAATCTTAAAAACTAAGGCTTTGTCAAGATTTAGAAGAGGTTTGTTATTGGCAGAGCTTGGAAAAGATTTGTTATTGGCAGCTTCTTTGTGAGTAGGTGTGTGTTTTCATGATTTTTGTAACTGCCCTTCTATAGGAGAAACCTACACCTACGACTGGCAGCTGATTACTCATCCTAAAGACTACAGTGGAGAAATGGAAGGGAAACATTCCAAGATCCTGAAACTATCAAAGGTGAATTTTTTCCCTTTCAATTACGGATAAGGTAGAGGAGCTGGTGATTTTCTAAAGTGGATAAGATAGAATTTCCTGTCCACACATAAGTAAGAAAGCGATCTTCCAGAAGTGAATTCTTCAAAAGTCTGGCTGGCTGACATCCAGTGTTTGTTTAGTTTATGACTCTCAAATTTTCATTTCTGGTGAGAAGACTGTACCATTATGGTAGTGATGGCTGAAAATATACACTAAGCAGCTTTGAAGGGTAGCGTAAGGATTTTAGAATTTGGGAGATAAGCTAAGTTATTTGTGGCCACATGACTGTGTACATTGGCTCAGTCTCTTTGGGGTTCAGTATCATTAGTAAGAGTTATAAAAATGTTCTTAATTTTTGGCCTAGGAATGCCAGATTGATTCATTCAGCAGCTATTCATTGTGTACTGGTGATATGGTAGCACTTGGGGATTACCTAGTGAATTAGTTACAATCTTAATGTCAAAGGAACAAGAGAGTCTGAGGGATACTGGTAGGAAGTAGAGTAGGTCAGTACAGAGGGCCACTGAGGCCTGGGTCTTAGCGTGGATTTCTTAGCTTTTGTCTCCTTGGGTCATGAACGGTGACTGACTTCCTGGGTAAAGTGTGGAGTGAGCATACTCTAAGCAAAAGAAGCAGCATGGCCACTGGACCAGACATAAGATAGAAAGTGTGGAGAAAAGGAATAATAGTTCAGCTTGACTAAACTCTCAAGCTGGAGAAGAATGGCAACATAGGTAAATTGGAGGAATACAGGGACCAAAGCAGAGGCTTGTATGCCATATTAAGGACTCTAAATCTCTCCAGAGGGAATAAGGAGTCTTTGAAAGGTGTTAAGCAGGAGAAAGACACGTTCAGATTTTCAGCTTAGAAAAATCACCTTGTCCACAAATTAGAGGATATAAGCCTCGAAGTGGGGAGACCAGTGAGGAATCTATTTGAAAAATAAGGTGGGAAATAATATTATCTTAAGTTTAAAAACTAAATAGCAGGGCATGGTGGTGTGCATCTGTAATCCCAGCACTTGGGAGGCTGAAGTAGGAGGATTCGAGTTCAAGGCCAGCTTGGGTTACATAGTGGCACCCTGTTTCAAAAACCAAAGCTGGCGGCTCATGCCTGTATAATCTCAGATCCTTGGGAGATGGAGATTGAGAGGGTTGAGGTTGGAGGCCAACCTGGGGGGAAAAAGTAATAAGCAAGCCCTATCTCAATAAGAAAGCTAGGTGTGGTATGCATAAGTAAGAGAATTAAAGTCTAGGCTGGCCTGGCAAAAATGTGAGACCCTATCTCAAAAATAACCAAATTAAAAAGTCCTGGGAGTGTGGCTCAAGTGGTAGGGCACCTGCCTAGCAGGCTCCAGACCTGAATTCAAACTCCAGTACTGTAAAAAATTAAAATAAATAAATAAAATTAAAATGAAAAACTCCCTCTTGAGCTCATACCATGTGTCAGACATGGGGCTAATTGTTTTATTCATTTATTTAATTTTCATAACATTCCCAACATGTAGTTATTAAGATTTGTTTTACAAATGACAAACTAAAACTTGGAAAAAGGAAGTAGTTTGGCCAAAGGTCACAAAGCTATTAAATGGTGGGTTTGAGCTAGAGCCTTCTATCTCTAAGTGCATGCTTTAGTAACTACTATGATGAGTGGTTAAGAACTAAGGTAATAGCATTGTACATAGAGAAAAATGAGTGGATTTGAGAAATAATATGAAGGTCACCTTCATAAAATGTGATGATCAATGAATTGGGTAGGGTATTGTAGAAGAGAAGTCTAGGATAATTGTAGCTGGATGTTCATTGGAATGAGCACAGAAGGAGAAGCAGGTTTGAGGAGATCTCCAGAAGATTAATTCATTTTGGGGCAGAGTGAGTATGAAGTGCCTATGAGACATTTGAGTGGAGTTGTCCCATTATTCCCTGGGGAAAAGGCTAGACACCAGGAGACAAATCTGGGCTAAAGAGATAAATTTACTCATCAGCCTCAAGTAGATGCTAATTGAAGCCATAGCCATAGCTAAGATTCTCCAGAGAGAAAAGTATGTGGAGGGGAGAAATAAGCAGGCTGAGGTTGGATTCATGCTGTCATTTTAATGGATGGAAGGTAAAGGAAATGAGGTGTGGGTAGAGAAGTGAAAGCCCAGAAAGAGAAGAATTACAAGGAGAAAGTGATAAAAAATGCTACTCAATTAGTATTTATCCAAAGAAGATAATTTAAAAGAAAGAAAACTCTATTTTCCTCAAAGATATTTGTTATAGAATTAGTCAATGGTAAAAATTTGAAAATAATCCAAGTATCCAACAATGTTGACTATTTGTGTGAAGTATGACACATTTTCTCATGTACTCTTCCATAGTTACTAGGATGAATGTTAAAAAGGTCATATCGTAAGGAAAAAGGATTCATGCTAAATTAATAAAAGAAAGAATAATGAACAGTTTGATACCATGACTTTAGCTAGACCCTGGTTACCACTGAAATTTGAGCTCCTCAAAGGTGGGGATCTTACCTTATTCACCTCTAAGCCCCTAAGCTCTAAGCCTAAAATAGTGACTGATACATGATTGCCTCTGAGGAAGTGTTTGTTGAATGAATGAACTGTATGAAACTATTTTTTGGATGTGGTCAAGGGTTGGATTGAAATAGAGAAATATGAGATATTGATATGTCAGAGTGGTGAGATGGTAGTGATTTTATTTTTCTCCTTTTATGTTATGTTTAAACAGTTAGTGGAAGTCAAGAGGAAAAATATTCAGGTACTTGGCAACAATTTGGCATTTTATAAGGTGTTTTTCTCTGAAGGAATGATTATTTTATAACTGAAGTAGGGATGATTGGGCCTTTAATGTTCTTCTGAGAAGAAAATTGGAGTACAGAGATTGAGATCCCTTCTGTTGCTCTAGAGGCAGCTAGTAATAAGATTCACATTAAGAGCTGTGTTTCTTATTAGTTTACTAAACTCATTCTTTAATCTCTTCAGCTAGTTACTTTTTCCATTTTGAAAATAGGGCAAGAGTACAAGATTCAGCATGGGAAGGCTCAGATACATATGTAATCTTAAATATAATTGCTGCTCTTTGTGGTTGTCTAAAAGGTCTTCTCTCACTTCTGCAGCTGACTCCAGGACTGTATGAATTCAAAGTGATTGTAGATGGTCAGAATGCCCATGGGGAAGGCTTTGTGAATGTGACAGTAAAGCCAGGTATGTGTTCCAGTCCCTGGCCATGTCCCATTGCTCCCTCCACAGGACTCCTGAGGACAAGGAGATTTGACTTTGCGATCTTTAATTTCCATTTTTTGTAATATATTTATGGGGCAGTTCTTTGTTCAGTGTAGTAAAAGGTTATAGTAGCAAAGTACACATTAGTTCCAAGTGTTCTATTTAGAACACTGGGCTGAGCAGAGCAACATTAGTCACAGGGTCCATAGTGCAGTATGGCCTGAGCAATAGCCTGTCTACCACAGAACTTGTTCTCCAAGTGGTCGTGCTGAGAGAGGACCATGTGTTGTAATTAAAAACGCATAGCAGCCAGTAGCCAGGAGGAGCATGCTGAAGGAGAAACAGCCAAGTGATGGGCTCTGATCTCTTTCCAGAGATGTAGGCCTTTGAACACTGAGACCTTCATTTCACCTTGGAAACCAAATCCATCCTGTCATTCTTTTTAAATAGAGCACAGTACAGTAGCAAGGTGTCTTGTTTGGCATTTTCAGAGAAATTTGGAAGAAGTTGGAGAGTGGCACAGGTATTAGCACAAATTAATACTGTTTTCTGTCTTTTTGGTAATAGGGTTTTTTTTGTTTCTTGTGCTTTGTACCCAAAGCAATCTTTTTACCTTTTTAGAATTATGATCTGTGGCCTGGGAATATAGTTTAATTGTAGAGCACTTGTCTAGCATGAGTGAGGGCCTGGGTTAAATCTCAAGCATGGTCAAAAAAGAAGAAGAAAATGATCAAATGGTCTTCATGCTAATTATAGCATGTTAATGATAACATGAAGACCATTTGATCATTTCTTAAAGAAAGGGGTACTGGGTTTGTAGCTCACAGTCATTCAGGTGGACCAGAGTGGTTTATGACTGTCTTTTCATTCAGCCATAGTCACCTTACACATAATCAACTCAGGGATGGTTGAGAAATCACTCATCTTTTCGGCACAGTCTATACCAAGTGATGATTTGCTTGCCAAGGTTTTTATTGCATAAAGCTTATTCCCCATCTACTTTTAGTCAGGCTGAACTGAAAGCAGTCACTGGCAGTTATACATGGGTTAACATTGAAAGAATGCACAGGGCCATGTGGTATTGCTGCCTGTAATCCCAGTACCTGGCAGGCTGAGGCAGGAAGATCACAAGTTTGAGTCCAGACTGAAGTGCACAGAACATGGTTTTAGAAATGGCTAGGTTTTGAAGAGGCTGAATACTTCCAGGTGTCTTATGCTAGAGTGGCAACCTGGTTTTGTGACTCTCCCATCTGATGATATTTCAACCATCAATTATGTAATGGATACTGATTTTTAATCCACTCAGATATGATCTGTCCCTCCTAAAATTTATTTATTTTTGTTTTTTGGAGACAGGTCTCTCTGTTCAGGCTGGCCTTGAACTCACGATCTTCCTCCCTCCAGTTCCCAAGTTCTGGGATTGTAAGGTCATACCACCACACCTGGCTTTCCTCCTATAATTTATAAATCTCTTCCAGTTGCTTCTGTGTCACTTTCTTGCAGAGCCCCGTAAGAATCGGCCACCTGTTGCTATTGTGTCACCTCAGTTCCAGGAGATCTCCCTGCCAACCACTTCTACAATCATTGATGGCAGCCGTGAGTATCTGTCTAAGCATAATGCTATAGAAGAGCAGACTCTGAGGGAAGGTATGGGGCCAGCCATGTTTGCATTCTGTGTAAGCTAGTCTTCTTGACCACATTACAGAAAGACCAACTGTCTGAAACAACTGATTAGGAAGTAACCAGCTACATAGGTCTTTTTTATAATCCCCATGTGGCTTGTTTGAAGTAAATTTCTGCTCTAAGATGGTAAGAAAGTAGGATTATGCAAGTATTTAGAATTACTTTGGTTGAAACTGGCTGATTTTCAGATTTGTATAAATGATGTTTCCTTTCGTGATTGTGGAAATCAAGTTTCTTGATGTTATCACTAGATAAGTAACTGAGAGGCCTGACCTAAGGGCTGTCACTCAGCCATCACTGCTTAACAAGACTATTGTCACCCTCTTCCTGGAGAGACTCACAGAATGCACGCTACACTCAACTTGAGCTCGCTACCATTTTATTCTTCTGAGGAGTGTCACCTGATGGATGGCAGGAGATGATATCTGGGTTTTTGTTCTTGATCTTGGCTGTGCGTGTGCAGGAGGATTCTTGGGGTTAGGGATGTAGCCCAGTGGTAGTGTGTTTATCTGGTATGCACCAGGCCTTGGGTTTCTCAAGGCCCAGCACCGCCAAAAAAAAAAAGGAGTTCAGGAGGTTTCAGGCTGATCCTCTTACCAAGAATTTGCTTGCTTTCTTTTGAGACCCATTAAGGCCTTATTACTCTGACTGTATTGGCATTGACAGTGGTTTTGGCAGGGCCAATCACTGCTTTGGCAAAAGCACACGCTAGCAAGGTAACAGCATTTGATGTTGATGATTCTGGCAACAGCAGTAGGAGAATAGCAAGCCAAAATGGCAGAGAGAGAATCAGAAGAAATTTGTCAGAGAAAGTGGTAGAAAGGGTTCACATGGCACTATGTTATTCTGTACTTTTGAATAGGTGAAAGTTGCATAATACATAAAGTGAAAAGAATACCATTTCCATCTCCTAGCTATCCAGTCTTCCTCCAGACAGCCAATGATATTACTATTTTATGTATCCTTCCAGAGATCTTTTATGTATATATAAGGAAATACACATGCAATATTTATCTTCCTTTTTTGCACAAATAATAATACATTATAAGTGCACTGTTATTTATATATGCAGCTCATTTCTATATGCTGGAGAAGTTTTCTGAAATGATGCATGAAATGCTTATCCTTTTAGTGAATACAGAGCATTCTATTATGTGGATCATATAATTTCATTGTATGACTATATACTTGTTTTTAATCTCTATTAATGACCATTAGATAACTTTTATTCTTTTGCTGTTACAAATAATGTTACCACAAGTAATTTTGTATATGTGATGTTTAACACATGTACAAGTCTATCTGTAGGATAAATTCATAGAAGAATTCCAGGAGCAAAGATAAATGTTGCTAAAGTACTCGTTTTATTTTTATTTTTTATTGTGCTGAGTAGGGGTACATTGTAGCATCCACAAGAATTCTTACAATATAACAAATACATCATACTTGAATTCACCCCCTCCATCATTCTCCTTTACCTTCCTACCCCATTCCTGGAATAGTTTCAACAGGTATCATTTTCTATTTACATACATGTGTGTACAGTATTTGCACCATTGTTCATCCTCCCATTCCCTTTCCCCTCCTCCTGCCCTTTCCCACTGGAACCAACCACCCCAAGCAGGACCTGTTCCACCTTCCTGTTCTCTGGTTTTTTCAAAAAAAGGAAAAAATGACATTTTTTTTGTTTGTTTAAGATAGCTGCACAGTTTCCTTGTGACATCCCCATATATATATATATATATATATATATATATATATAATATATATATATTATATATATATACATAGATAATATATATATATGTATTATATATATATATAGTATATGTATTATAACCCGAATTGGTTCATCTTCTCTATTTTTCTTCTTTCTACCTTAGTCCCCCTTCTTATGGTGATTTCAATAGGTTTTAAAAATTCTGTATTCATTCTTGTAAAGTACTCATTTTAGAGTAGTGAGTTATATCAACTTGTGCTTCCATCATGACTAATGAGTGGGCTTCTTTCTCCACTCATCTACATTATGTGCTGTGAAACTTTTTAAAAAGCAATCTGATAAGTTAAAAAATGGTACCCCAAGAGTAATTTTAATTTGAGTTCTTCTTAGTGAGGTTGAGTAGGTTTTCATATATTTAAGAATTATTGATTTTCCTTCTCTCTATACATATATGTATTTTTTTGGGTGGCACTGGGGTTTGAACTCAGCGCTTTATACTTGCAGAGGAGGTGTTCTACTGCTTGAGCCACACTCCAGTCCCCAATTTTCTAGTTTTTATGCAGTAAGTAGTATTTTAACCAGAGACTTCCTTGGAAAACTATATAATGGAATACTCAGAGAGGGGCAAATGACCCAGTGTTCCTAGGGAAGAAATGCTCTGGAGAGAGAGCCTGTAATTTCATGAAGCTCTCCTAGCCTGAAATCTCGTAAATAGTTGCCTTGGTTTGTGTAAAATGGGTAAGTGTTGAGACCTAGCATTCTCACTTAATAACTAATGTTATTTGTGGTCCAGAAAGCACTGATGATGATAAAATCGTCCAGTACCATTGGGAAGAACTTAAAGGTCCTCTGAGAGAAGAGAAAATTTCTGAAGATACGGCCATATTAAAACTAAGTAAGCTCGTCCCTGGAAACTACACCTTCAGGTAAATTAGATTCAGCTTCAAGTTGACCACAGCCCATTTTTCCCCCTCATGGATTTTACAATCTTGTGGGAGTGACTTAACAAATATCAGTGCACTATGGGGTTGGTTAATAATACAGCCTTTCATTCCATTGGTTCTCTGAGTCATATAGTGACTATGAACACAACAATGGTAACTTCTTAGGGCACTGTCGTTCTATAATAGATAAGGACCTACCATAGTTCATGCTTCTCAAAGCCTTCTCTGGAATATCTCCAAATGTCTAGAATTTCTGCCATTAGTCAAAGGGCCAGTCTTTCTTTGTGTTTTTTTCAAGCAAGATCTACAAAGCATCTTCTCTCATTTTGTCTCTTTTCTTTGAGAAATGCCTCCTGAACTCAGAATCCCTTTCTAAATCTTTACTTTTGACTAGTGGCTTATTTGGATACGATTTGTAGGATCTTTCTTTATTGGGACTATTTGGAGAAGCTGATTCAAAGAAAGTCCTTTCAATTGACGTTGAAAGAAACGTCAATTGGTGTTGACATTTTAGAACATGTTTTATAAGGTTTTGAGGCTGACTTGAGTGCAGTTTTTATATATGCATAGTTTCTTTTATGTTACAAAGTATTTGTGCATGAGTATAATACAAACACCATGTATAGATGATACTGTCCTCGTTCTATAGCTGAGAAAAGTGAAGCTGCTTGTATTTAGCAGTTTCTCTAAGGTATGCAGTTAGAAGTTAAAATCAGGGTTCATTCTACTTCACTCCTTGACTTGGTACATGTATATTTTGTTTATTCTTCCTTGAATCCCTTCCTTAATCTGTTGAAGACCTGCCCACCATTAAGGATCTGCTCAATTTTCCATGAGGCCCTCTGCAGTCCCTTCAGAGAGGAAAGAATAGAACTCTCCTCTTTCCTATTGTGCTCAGTGCCTCACTGGCACCTCCCGTAGTGTGACTGCTTATGCATGGGTGTCTGTCTTCCCATGGGTCTGAGATTTATCAGGTTATAGACACTGCTGGGAACATTGATGAATGTCCTAGCACAACCCTTATGTATACATCAATACATGTTCTGGCTTAGCAGCACTCTAAGGTGCTGCTAGGTGACTGTAGGTGAATGGAAGATAGTTGCCAGTGTAGCAAGACTGGAACCTTCTTATTGGCTTAAAATGGAAATTTGAGTTGGATTTTACCTTAGATTGCTAATATGGGAAATTCCATTTATATACTTTAGCCTGGGCCACATCAATCCTTTGTAAAAATAGTGATAAAACTGGGAGTAAGAGCTCAAGCATGTAATTTCAGTACTTGGAAGGCTGAGGCAGGAGAATCATGATTTGGAGGCCAGCCTGGCCTACATAGCAAGTTCCATACCAGCCTTGGCTACATTATAAGACCATGTGTTAAAAAAAAAAGTGACAATAACAACCGATGTTTTCTTGAACATTTACTGTATGTTAAGTACTTTTCTGATTTCTTTGCTTGTAGTATGTCATTTAATCCATGTAACAGGCATTATGATTATTCTGATTTTATAGAGTAGGACATTTTGGCTCAAAAAGGGTAAGTAATTTGCCCAAGGTCACACAGCAATCTGACTTCAGAGTCTAAATTTTAATCACAATGGTAGCCTACAGTTTGTTGGGTGGATAGGGTACTGGGAGCAGTTCTTTTTTCCTGACCCTCCTTTTTTTTAATATATAGTTGATGGGATTGGATTTGATTAGCATTAAGGTCCAACCTGGTTGTTGTTCACTTACCTTCCCCACTCTTCTACTTTTTATGGCATTAGCCTCTTTCCCTAGCCCTGTAGTTAGCTGCTCATTGGTTCCAGGATCACTTGCAGGCAAGCCAAGGGCTGTTCAGGGTGAAAGTCAGAGTAATGGATAGCTGCCATTTTGCCATCATCTATAACTTGCTTCTGCTCTGACATAGGAGATGAGTGAGATATGTTAACAATAACAATAAACCTGGGAAAACTGGAAAAAGAGGCAAAATATCTGTGATTTTCCTTTTCAAATACTGGCTTATTTGTATGTTTATGTGTCCCAAGTTTGTTTTTTTCCTTTTTTTTTTTTTGTTTGTTTTTGTGGTACTGGAACTTAAACTCAGGGCCTTCACCTTGAGCTACTCCATCAGCCCGATTTTTTGTGATAGAGTTTTTCAGGTTAGGGTTTCGTGAAGTATTTGCTGGGCTGGCTTCAAACTGCGACCCTCTTGATTTCTGCCTCCTGAGTAGCTCGGATTGTAGGCGTGAGCCACCTGCACCCAGCTTGTACTTTTTTCTTAAAGGCTGTAATACCAAAAATTCCCGGTAGACCATAGGTAAAAGGTGAGATTATGGGAGGAAGCTCCACAGATGTCTGGCTGTGTCTGAGGCTGGTAGTGAGATTTAAACAAACTGCATGTCTTTTCTATGCTTTTCCTCTTTCTGTCAGCAAAATGGAAGAATCCCAAACCTCCTTGCTTGCTTATGCTCACATTTTGAGGTGGCATGAGAAGCTTTAGGCTGTTCAGCTGGAAGGCATCATTTAGGTAAAAGTCTGCTCTTATAAAATAACTTTTTTTTTTTCCTTTGCAAATCCTGTTTCTCAGGTACAAACTGTGGGCCTGTTGTATAGGAGAAATCATTTTCATCTCAGACTTCTGCCTTGCTGGAACCAGCCTTCCTGGTCTGTCCCAGAGGCTATGTGTCCAGGCTGTCCATTCTTGTGATGTGCACACAGCTGAAAAAGGATTAGTGTTCTATGTAATGTGGCATCTTTGAACTCCAGAGGAATAGGGGCCACTGACTATCTCTTCTAAGAGTGGATTTTTGAGCTGAGTGCTGGTGGTTCACATCTATAATCCTAGCTATTTGGGAGGCTGAGATCAGGAAGATGATTGTTGAAGGCCAGCCTGGGCAAATAATTCGCAAGACCCTATCTCCAAAATAAACAGACCAAAATGGATTTATGTAGTAGAATGCCTGCTTTGTAAGCAAAAGCCCAGAGTTCAAACCCTGGTCCCACCAAAATGACAACGACAAAATGAATGGATTTCTGAACTAGGTACAGTGGTGCTTACCTGTAATTCCAGCATTTGGGAGGTTTAAGGCAAGAGGAGAGGATTGCAAATTCAAGGTCAGCCGGGCTATGTAGCAAAGCCCTTTTTTTCTTTTTTTTTTGGTTGGTATTGGGGTTTGAACTCAGGGCCTCATACTCTACCACTTGACCACTCTGCTGGGGAAGCTCTGTCTTAACAACAACAACAAAAAAGAATGTTGAAATCTGAGAACTGGACTTGCATTTTGGCTCTCTGTGTAGCCACAGGCAAGTTTCTTAGCCTCTCTAAGCCTTCTGTACAGTGGATTGATGATACCCACTCCAAATGATTTTTGTGAGGGCTATATCAGACAACACTTATGAGGTCTCTGTACACAGATGCACATGGGCAGTAAAGCAATCTGTTGCTGGACACATATTTCCTGGACTCAAATCCTGTGTTACTTTACCTCTTTATGCCTTGGTCTCCTTATATATGAATGTGAGGATAACACTTTATAGAGCTTCTGTGTGGATTCAATTAGATTTAAAGCACAGTCCCTAGCACCTGATAAGCCCTCAGCTATGTTCACTTCTAGTGTTACTCTCTGCTCTTTCAATAGTAATGGGTAGGAATATGTTATTTTTTAGTCTTGATATTCTGTCCTCTAGTTTTGTTCCTCTTCCTTTAAACCAATTCCTTACTGCATTTCTCTTTGCCTTGGTAGCTTGACTGTAGTAGACTCTGATGGAGCTATGAATTCCACCACTGCGACCCTAACAGTGAACAAAGCTGTGGATTACCCTCCTGTGGCCAATGCAGGTCCCAACCAAGTGATCACTCTGCCTCAAAACTCCATCTCCCTCTTTGGGAACCAAAGCACCGACGATCATGGCATCACCAGCTATGAATGGTCACTCAGCCCGAGCAGCAAAGGAAAGGTGGTGGAGATGCAGGTAGGAGGGAGTGTTCCTGTCTTTTCTTGCCCAGGGAACACATAGCTGCTGGATTGGATCACCCATCCAAGGTTTATGTCTGCTCCATTTTTTTCCATTTTTTATTAGTGTAAATTGTACTAAGTGGTTTCATTGTGATATTTTCATACATGCATATACTATACTTTGATCAAATTCACTCTCTCTGTTTCTACCCTGTGTTAATTACTGGTCAGATTTGTGCATTTAGAATTTTAAAACAGATTAATGGGTTAGCAACAGTCTTTGTCTTAACTTTTAGTATTTAGAAGGTGGATGAGAAATGTACTGGGTGACTCCAGAGTCAAACTACTTAGAAGCCACAAAGGTGTAAATCTTAGTGAGCTCTATTACTCCTTGGAGTACATTGTCTGGCTCAAGGATATTTTCTCTCCGGAGCTATTTAAGAAGAGACTAGATTGATCACCAAGCAGGCCATATAAGTAAACAAACAGAGCTTAAGCTCTGACGGAATGGATCTTTTACTTCTTGGGTCCAGTTGGCTGTAGCTGCATAGAAGTAGATCCCACTATTGCTTGATAGTCCTGTTTTGTAAGAGCAGACAGAAATGGAGACCTTTATGTGAAAATTTCTAGCTTTTAAGACACTGTAGGCAAAACAAAACATCTGGAAGCTGGATTCAGCCCATAGGCTGCCAGTTTTTGCCCACTATTCTATAGGAAGCTCCTGCATTGGAAATTTGCCCTTATTATTTATAATGTCCCTTCTGATACTTAAGATTCTGTTTCTCTAGATTTGAGGCATGACTTAAAGCCTCAAATCTAGAAGTTAAACTAAACTTTACCTGGTTTAGTTTGCGTATTATTTTTGCTCTCTCTGCTGTTACAGAATCTGTACAAATTTATTAGCATGGTGTCTTGTGATGTCTGACTTAGCAGTCATTCATTGTGTTGAACTGGGGGTAATAAGCCAATACCAACTTAGGTTTAGAAATAGGCTAAATAATTTCTACCAAAGTAGGAATTGTGGTGGGATGTTGTGATTCTGGAAGTCTACTTTCCCACTCCTGAATTTCTGTATGTAGGGTGTTAGAACACCAACCCTGCAGCTCTCTGCAATGCAAGAAGGAGACTATACCTACCAACTCACAGTGACAGACACAATTGGACAGCAGGCCACTGCTCAGGTGACTGTTATCGTGCAGCCTGGTAAGTTCCATCCTGGGCTCAGGCTTTTAACCCTGGGGGAGAAGAGGGATTGGCTCCTGAGCTACATGAGGGTAGAAGCAGAAGACAGCAACCCAGAGAACCTCTGAGAGTAACTGCTTTCATCCATTTTTCTTGTGTCTGTGCTTTCTTCATGTCTTAGGAGAAAGAGTACTTTCCAGCCTCAGCTTGTGCCCTTCCCTTGGCTAGTTATTGTGCTCTGGCATGGACCAAGAGGTAGAGCCTACTCCATCCCAAATCCTACCATTATTAAGGGTCAGCTTAAAACCCACCTCCTCAGGAAAGCCCTAACTTGTCACCTAAACTTATAGCATTAGATTTCTAATTTAGCACAGCATTAGAACTTTACTGTGTTCTGTTTCTTCAGTTATGTTTCATTCTTTAATTCTTCCTTGTGAGCTCCCTGATGGTATCCGTGTCTCCCACACATCTGAAGTTCCGTGGGCTATAAGGCAGAGTTCCTGTGACCAAGACACGTGTCCCATTACATTCTCTTCTTTCCCACCAGGCTTCTGCTTTTGACCTCCATGTCTCTGTTTCCTAGAGAACAACAAGCCTCCTCAGGCAGACGCAGGCCCAGACAAAGAACTGACCCTACCTGTGGACAGCACAACCCTGGATGGGAGCAAGAGTTCAGATGACCAGAAAATCGTCTCCTACCTTTGGGAAAAAACCCAGTGAGTGGTGATACAGATTCCCCCGCCCATGCAAAGGCTCTGGACCTTGGAAGAGCAAGATTTCATTTGCTTTTAAGAGTTGACTCTATTGGCTTGTCCAGGAGCATGACTGAAAAAGTATTTATAATCTTACATTTCAACTCTAAAAAACATATTATAAATAATTTTGTGTAAGAAAAAAATGAACACTTGTTATCCATTAGCCCCATTAGTCCTGTGTGGCTCTGGTGCTTTTGCAGGTACAGTCGGTCTGCTGAAATGCTTGGTTTAATTACACTTGAGAGAGAGGCTGGAAGGGGTAGTGGAGCAGAAAAATACTGTTGCTCAGAATTAACTGAATAAGGCTGGGGAGCGGGGAATGGGCAAGCAGCTACTAAGAGGAATTGAAAATTCATCTATAAAATGAAAGCACTACTGTTTTATTACTTCCTGGAAGACCCCATTTACCAGTTAAGTTAGCCAGAGACCAAAAGGGCTGTAGCCAAAATAATACTACTTACACTGAAATTATCTAATTGAACTATTCCTGATTCTCACAGTTTTTTTTCAGCTCCTTTATCCATAACAAATGGAAGTCAAATTACATGAGTATCTCACATGAAGCAAAAGAATTCCAAGGATGAATTAAAAGCATTTTCAGTTTCTAAAGATAGCAGCCATTGGACAGACTGGAGTTTTGTTTTATATGTATATACGCATACTTTTTTTCTTCTCTCTTTTTTGACTAGGGCATTGGAGATGGGTAGGAAGGGGTTTTCTTTTTCAAACTCTGGTGCTACTGAGGTTTGAATTCAGGGCCTCGTGCTTGCTAGGCCAGTGCTCTACCATTTGAGCCACGCCCTCAGCCCTTTTTGCTTTAGTTATTTTTTGGATAGAGTCTAATGTTTTTTGCCTGGGCTGATCTTAAACGGTGATCCTCCTACTTATGTCTTCTATGTACCTGAGATTACAGGTGTGACCCACCATACCCAACCTATTGGTTGAGATGGGGTCTTACTCTTTTGCCCCGTCTGGCTTCTAACCATATTCCTCCAGATCTCTACCTTCTGGGTAGCTGGGATTACAGGCATACATCACCATGTCTGACCTAGAAAAGGGCTTTAATTTCACCATTGAAGATACTTGACTTGATTGCTGACCTGGGTGCTAGAAATTATTTCCCTCAGTTCTTGTTTCTGTCTTTTAGAGAACCCAATCTTCCTCAGCTTGATGCTTATTCACTATAATTGTTTATTGAAGATAGATCCAGTGAGCCTTGGAGCTGAGTTTTATTAGTGGTTTCAGCAGTGACAATGCTTAGCAGAGCTTCTTGGAGGAGAATCTGTTTTCAGGAGAGGCTACTAAGGTCAGAGGAAATAAGCTTAAAAAGCAAAGCAAAGCAAAGCAGACTCTGCAGTCTGCTGTTTTCTGTTTGTCCTTGGCTGGAAAGAAGCTCCTGCATTTAGGTTGTGTGCTCATGCTCCATGTTCTGGTTGAGTGCAGCCTTGCCTGGATGCTGGCACCCAGCTCCATGCCCTGCTGCCTGCTGAGCGAGAGTGGGAGGCAGGATGCCCGTGCCCTGGTGCTTCGAGGCTCTGTCCAGTTCTGCTGAGAGCACTGCTGAGAAGGTGACTTTGTCCCGAGAGCTCCTCTGCAGCCTTGGCCCATTTCCTTTCCTTGACTTTTCATCAGGAGGGATTTAGGCATGTGATTAAGAAATGCTTCTTTTGTTGGCAAGAGCTGAGCCACTCCTGGGCAGAAATTGTTTTCAGAAAGATCTCTCTTAAGTCATCTTTTTTATCACAGACCTGCTTAGAGAATTTTATTCCTTTTATAAACTGAAATAGTAAAGAGTTTGAATGCTCTAGAAGCTTCTATAAAGAATAAGCCTAGATGTGTTTGAAAAGTGGTGAGCGAAATTTTCTGACCAGCAGGTAGCCTTTATTTTGGGGCCAAATAATACTTTGTCCAGATGAAATATTTTTAAACATGTCTGGACAAAGTCTTGGAAACAATTGTTCTTGTCTTAGCTGAGGCAATAATTGTCCCTTCCTGCTGAGTCAGGGACAGGAGAGCAACATGTAGCACCATCTCTCTTCATCCAGGGGACCTGATGGGGTACAGCTGGAGAATGCTAACAGCAGTGTTGCCACTGTGACTGGGCTGCAAGTGGGGACCTATGTGTTCACCTTGACTGTCAAAGATGAGAGGGACCTGCAAAGCCAGAGCTCTGTGAATGTCATTGTCAAAGAAGGTACCTCCCAGCCTTGGGTTTGCACAGCAGCCTCTCTGGGTCAGATAGCTGAGGAATCCATCATGTCTTATTGGCTACAGAAATTGATTAGAGACAAGAGGTGGGAAGAAGGTTGGGGTGAGGGCAGCTGTTATTTGCTTTTCTAAAATAACCTTTAATTGAGAGTGTCTGTAACATGAATTTTATCTACCTGCCTTCCCTTTCTTATTCTCTACCTCCCCTGCTTCCTTCTTTCCTCCCTGCTTCCCTCCCTTTCCTGCCTACCCCCTCCTCTCCTCTGCTGCTTTCCTTCTTCCCTGCCTCCCTCCCTCCTCCAGTTGAATAGGGAAAGAATTAAAGGGTTTTTTCTTTGCAGTTTGATTTTTGTCTGTGCTAAGACTTGGGGTTTCTGTGACTCTCTGTTAGCTACAGTGACACCTGCTGTCAGGCATTAAAATCACTGTGCTGCACTGCAGCTTCTTGTGTTTGTCCTTTGAGTCTGCAGGCTGCAGCCAACTTCAGGCAGGAGTCAACTGACCTTGCCCTGGTTTGCAGGCACAGTGACTGAAAGGGCCCTGGGAAAGGAAAACCATCACCTATGTGATAGTATCCTGGTTGTGTGTTGTGCTGAGTAAATACTGAGTTGCACCCAGCAAACAAAGCTTCTTGGGGGCCCAGGCTCAGAGATATCTTTCTCTTTCTTTCTCTTGTGAAGTACCAAGGGCAGAATGAAAAAGATATTCAGAGACTAACACTTAAAGATCCTTTAAAGGAGAATTTGTCTTGTCATCTGGATGAAACTGAAGCCTAAGGCTTTTTAGCCCCTTTAGGCCTTCATTTCCCATCTTCACATTCCTCTAGAGCAGAGAAATGGCTGCCTTTCCAGAAGGTGCTGTGGCATCACAGGAGGAAAGCATGCTTGTCCCCCTTTTGTATGGTGGCAAGAGAACATGTCTCTTGGTAGTGCCAGAGCCTCAGGGCTGCAGCTCTGGTGGCTTTAGATCTGCATTGTTGGTTGCTGGAGTGAACAGGCATTAAAATGGCTTTCCATTCAAACTCTCCATTTAACTTGTCTGTAAGAACTGCAAAGCCACATTCCTGCTTTTCCAGAATGTTGCATTATTTCAATGATGTTTCTTTGGTTAGAAATGAACAAACCACCTATAGCCAAGATAACTGGGAATGTGGTGATTACCCTGCCCACAAACACAGCAGAGCTGGATGGATCCAAGTCCTCAGATGACAAAGGAATAGTCAGCTACCTCTGGACTCGAGATGAGGGGAGTCCAGCAGCAGGGGTAAGTGAGCCATGAGTGAGAGAGTTGACTAAGGTCTAACTAGCAGGCAGGTGAAGAGGGAAGCCAACCTCCAGCATGTGCTTTAACCATGTAGTCCCCTTGTATCAAACCTAGGTTGTTCTCTGATATTCAGGGAGGTTATGTGACTTGCTCTGGGTCATTCAAGCTAGTGTGGCACAGAATGGGTTTCTGTCCCGTGATCCTAGCAGCTGTTGGTGGCAGTGCTGTTATGGATCAGGAAATGCCCAGAATTGATAGCCCACCCAGGTGTGGCATTGCTGTGGCAGAAGCAGCAGCTGACTCTAAGGAGAGGTGTTTCATTCTGCAACATAGCCATATTGTTCACCCTGCAGGAGGTGTTAAACCACTCTGACCATCATCCTGTCCTCTTTCTTTCCAACCTGGTGGAGGGAACCTACACATTTCATCTGAAAGTGACGGATGCAAAGGGTGAGAGTGACACAGACCGGACCACTGTGGAGGTGAAACCTGGTGAGTGTGTTGAATGGTAAGACAATGGAACTGTCAGAGCCTCGAGCCATGGACAAAGCCATGTCCAATTTTAAAAAAATGTAGGAATGCCATAATGAAAAGTCCTTAGATGCTGCTATTCCCACGCAGGGCTACAGAGACATTCCCCTAACTCATCTCAGATGGAAAAACTGAACATCAGAGAGAGGGTAGGGCTTGCTCAGTGTCACACAGCAGTTGTGTCAGAGCCAGGCCTCAGGCCAGTACTTTCTCTGCTACACGTGACTGAGAAGAGAGAGAGGGCTCAGGGTGCCTTGGGAATGTGAGCACAGGAATAGCTTGAGTCATGATGTCTCATCAGTACCCAGATGCAGAAAACAATTTATTTTTATAAGTTGAGCTTCAGGCTTTATCTGACAACTCAAGGAAGGTAAAGTAACTGATGTCCTGTACATTTTTCAAATTTTCTTTCTTAAACAGAACCATGTTCTTATTTTGCTTTGAGGCTTATTTGGTGATAGAGAGGAACCAAGTGTGGAGGTGGGGCAGAGCTTCTGATGAGGCGGTATTAACTCTGAGCCTGCTCTGTATTTCCTAAGCCAGGCTCAGTCATGGATGTCTTAGATGGGAAGGGATCATGACAGGTCTTCCAGTCCTTTTCCTGCCACTAGGGAAGACAGCAGCCAAGACACCACAGAGTCTCTTCTGTGTTCAAAATCAGATCACAAATAGTGTACCAGTTTTGTAAATCTCCCATCAGATTAGGCATCGGTGCTTCTAAGTTATGTGAATAAGGTTTTCTGACAATCCATCATAACTTCCAAATGTAGAACAGTCCTTAGGACATGTTCAAAAGTAAGCACAATCGTGTCCAGTTCTAGAACTGTGAACGGATAGTACAGCTATGAGGATGCACTAAGGAAAGTCTTCCTTGGCTGCCCAGGCTTCTTTGCATTTATTGTATTTACATCTGTAGGGATGGGTGCATTTATATCACGGATAAGGTGGTTGGGATGGACATTCCCCCCCCCCCCCCCGCCACCCATCACTGCAAAGTACAGCAAGTCACTTGAAAGTTGGATGGGAGTCAGGAAAGGCTGTTGACATTCCTATTGGCCTGCCCATGGGGCAGAGCCTTTAAAACAAAGGCTGCTGTGTTTCTCTTCTCCTGTCCCTAAGCCCCAGACTTCCCAGCTTCAGCCTTATCCCAGAGCACACGTGTGGCAATTCTCAGGTTGGTGTAAAGCTTTCCAAGCCATCCCCAGATTGCCTTATCAGGAATTCACTTTTGTTCCTTCTTGCTTGAAGGAGGTCTGAATGCTGTCATTACTTTCGCTTCTGTGCTGAAGCAAATGCAGTGGTGGGTTTGTTTTAACTCTCCCACTTCTGAAGCCATGACTGATCCACATACTTTCCAGATCCCAGGAAAAACAACCTGGTGGAGATCATCTTGGATGTCAACGTCAGTCAGCTGACTGAGAGGCTGAAGGGGATGTTCATCCGCCAGATTGGGGTCCTCCTGGGGGTGCTGGATTCCGACATCATTGTGCAAAAGATTCAGCCGTACACGGAGCAAAGGTAGCTGGGCAATGAATGGGGGGAGAAAAGGAAAGACCTGGGGCCCCCTGGCTTCTCAACTGAGCTGAGTAATAGTGGGAATAGATGGAGAAGGGTGGGATTTCTGATCAGGAGCCACTCCTAGTGTCCATCTGTTAAATATACTTGCTATTCTAGTGCAGGCCACGTGGTCTAAACTAAATACTCAGTTGGGTCTTGGGGTACAAGGTCAGATGAGGTCCATTACTTTAGTTGGCTACAGTCTGCTAATGGAGATAATCAGTTAACATGTCACCTCTGTACAGGGTGGATTTGGCACAATGTATGGCATTAAAGAAACACAGAGGCCAGAGCAGCCAGGTCTTCCAGGAGTGCCGGGGTAGGAGGTAGCCCAGAGTGTTCCAAAAGAACACTCTGGATCAGAAAGCTAAGAGGAAATTCAGAAGGGAGTACACCGTGAGCCATAGCCAGGAGATGGGAAGGTGCAGAGTTTCTTCTGCAAGAATGCATGTAGTTCAGAGCTTAGCAGGCTCCAGGATGTGGTCAGAGATAAGACCAGTGGAGGCTTAGAACAGTTAACATATTTGCTAAAGAGTTCAGTTTTAATAGTTTGGGTGGGAAGACCCAAGTTAACTTGTTTTATGTGTGTGAAGTTGGTTTGTTTTAAACTAAATAAATTCTATATTTAGATTTTTTTTAAAGGGAGATCAGTAGCATAGAAGTTAAACTAAATTAGGGAGAGATCAAAGGCTGGAAGACCAGCCAGGAAACTGCTGGACAAGTTTAGTAAGAAGGTGATGAACCCTGAATTAAGGTAGTGGCAGAAATGAAGAAGAAATGAAAAAGAATTCAGAGGTGAGTCAGCAGACTGTGGCAGTCCTTTGGAAATGAAGGGGAATGACAGTCTTTTGCTGTGGAGGCCTGGCTGGGTAGTTCAGGCCATGAACTGAAGTTAGGGATGAAAAAGAAACCCATTTTGAATGTCTTATGAGCTACATGGAGCGATGTCCCCAGATAGTCACAGTGTAGGCAGGATCTTGGGGTGGAAGGAAGAGCAAGAGACTAGAATCACAGGCATCTACACAGGAGTCAAAGCCAAGAGGATGAGTGAGTGACAACAGGACACCTCAAGAGGGCTGTGGACAGACCCTGGAGAACACCAGTATTTAAGGAAGAGGCAGAGGATGACAATGGCAAAGAAAACCAGCAAGAGCGCTGGGAAGGTGGGAGGAGACCTTGTGGCAGTGGTCTGCCGGCAGTTCAGGCAGGACCTGGCATTGGACACTGTGGTGATAACACAAAACAGGCGTAGGGAGTGTGCTCTGCAGGTCACCAAAATGACAGAGAACCAAGGACAGATTCATGGTCTGAGGACATGGAGGTGGAACATATAAAATGTCTTTGTCAAAGCTGGTGCTGGAGCAAATACTGGATAGGAAGAAAACATACCTTTTAAAGATCAGAAGTATCAGAGCCTTTATATCGCCTGAAGGGGAAGTGCCTAGGTGAGGAGGAATGAGTGAGTGTGTGTGTGTGTATGGCTGATAATACGAAGCCAGGGTAGACTGGGTCACAGACATGATTAGGACTCTTCTTTTTCTCCTCCAATCCCTCCCTCCTCTCTCTCAATACTGGGCTTTGAGTCCAGGGCCTTGTGCTTGCGAGACAGTTGCTCTCCCACTTGAGCTACACCTCTAGTGTAGTAGCGTTTAGTGTTTTGTTTAGTTTAGAATATGCTATTCTGGCCTCAGAGCTCAGTCCTCCCAGGTTGTGTCTCCTGAGTAGCTAGCTGTGTGTGCTACTCACACATGGTGTACCACCATGCCCTACCTTCTTTTTTAAAGCTATGCTAAGCAGCTTTGGAGAAGGAGCCAGGCAAATAGCTGCTTGGATTGATCCACGTTGGTGGGGATTGACTGGGGAGAAGCAGTGGAAATATGTCAGCGGGTGCTGGTGAGATGTGCATGTGGGGCACAAGGAGGAGAGAAACACCTGGATTTCCCCTGGCTTCTGGTCGACACTGGATTGACATAGTTAAGTGATTCAAGAGAAGCATGAGCTTGGAGGGAGGTAGTATATATTACTTTGGGAAAGCTGGGGCCTGGCCACATCCCACTCCATCAGTGTGAGCCCTGGGAAGTGCACAAGCTACTTGACCTTTCTGAACCTGTTTATCACCTGTGAAAATTCAAGTGCCTATTTACAGCATTGATGTTGAGGAGTACATAAGCTGTTGTATAAATCCCTAACACATAGTGCTCAGTTGGTGGTTATTACCATGAGTTTATTTTGGACTTGTGGGTTTGAGGCATCTGTGGAAGATCCGGGGTGGATATTCTTGGCAAGCATTTGAAGGTATAGATTGATCACTGTTGGTCCTGTGGGAAGAGGAGGTAAAGATTTGAGTCTTATTGGTTATATAGACAGAAATGAAAACTATATGCATGGATTATAGAGAGAAAGTAACAGGAAATGGACCACATATCTTTTATGGTTAAAGGTTTGTTTCTTGATTCTGGAATTTGTAAGGCCCCATTGTTGACTTCATTATGCAGCAAACTTTTAGTTAATGACAGTTCTTCCCAAACTTTTATATCATGCCATGCCTAGAAAATGATACTATTTACATGACACCTTAGGACAAATGGACAAGGCTCCTTCTATGGAAGCAACTGGTCTAGGGCCCCTGGGATACTCAGGTCTCCTCAGCTACCCCACATGTTGAGGGCGTTACATCTTGGACACACCTATAAGCCTAGTGTGACCCACTGATTGGGAAGGTCTGATTGATGAGACTAACATGGGGTTTAAAAGCACACTGTCAAAAACTAAGGACAGGGCATAGAGAACAGAGTATATACCCAGGCGTGAGCTCAAATGTGGTCTATCTTGAACAGAAATTGATAATCCAAAAACAAAACAAATTCTGGGCATAGAACAATATAATTTCACACCAGCACACCATTGTCTGAAAGACACACAGGGACTCTCTTTTTGCTGTCATAGTAACAATTATTTTGGCCTATGGCTAATCTTTGATGCTTTCCAACAATTTACATTTTACAAAGCACTGTGGTTTGTTTATAAGTATCCCAGGCGCAAATACAGCAGCATCTCCATCTTAGCTATGAAAAGGCTGACAGCAGGTATGTTGCCATAATCAAATCCCTATTCTTTTCATCCTCCAGTTCTCGGTGTGGAATAGAGCCTCCTGTTGCTGGGGCAGTTCAGGGCATCTTTAAAAAGTAAGGCTTTGGAATCTTGATCTGGCTCTGCCATAATTAACTGTGTGACCTTGGACAAGTTACCTAACCCATCTGAGCCCCTGAGTTGTCCTCTGTAAAATGAAGACACAGATAGTATCTTTTCTTACTGGCTTGCTGTGACCAAGTGCATACAATCCATGCTCAGCACAGTGTCTGGCACAAACAGAAGGTACTTAGTAGTCAGTAGCTACGGTGCTCTTGTGGATCACGTCATCTCCCTTATACTGTTCATGTCTCTGCAGCACCAAGATGGTATTTTTTGTTCAAAATGAGCCTCCCCACCAGATCTTCAAAGGCCATGAGGTGGCAGTGATGCTCAAGAGTGAGCTGCAGAAGCAGAAGGCAGACTTCCTGATATTTGGAGCCTTGGAAATCAATACTGTCAGTGAGTAATCTTGGGAAGTGGGAAGTGGAGCCTGCCCAGTACCCCACTGTCCTGGGCCTTATGTCCTTTCCCTGGGAACATGCAGAAAATCATTTTTCCCCCACTACCATTATCATGAAAAGTCCACTTACTGCAGGGGATCTTGCCCTGAGGCCCACGGGCCCCATAACAGTGCTCAGGGGGACCATGGGCTTGAATGGGAAAAATTACATCTTCATTTTCATTAACCTCAGATCCAACTCCATGATTTCCCTGAATTATGAAGGTGGGTATTTTTAACAGACTTTGAGACAATAAAATACATGACAAAATATCATTTTTACTCACTTCAGAATTACCACTAGTAGATCTTATTTTTTTAATAAAGACACACGTTATTCTTTCATAAATTTGTGCTCTTAAATATTTCAAAACCATGCTCAATATAACTGCTGCTTTTGTAATACTATAATTATATTTCTGTAACTATATTATTCTAAGAAGGAGGTGTGTGGGACACAAAAGATGGAGGATTGCTCACACAAAGAACAAGGGCAGGCCAGCTGGAGCTGTTTCTCTTGTGGCCTTGCTCACTGTGTCTCATGCAGCCAAAAGGGTGGTCATGACATCAGCTGTGCTGTGGAAATTCCTAGGCCAGGGCTTCAAGAAGCTTCACTGCCTCTTCAGTTCTTCATGGACCCTGGATGCTAAGCACTGCTTGTTACCCTGACCCTGGCTCTTGTTGACTTTTTTCCCTCTCCTTCCTTCTTCAGCTTGTCAGTTGAACTGTTCTGACCATGGCCACTGTGATTCATTCACCAAGCGCTGTATCTGTGACCCTTTTTGGATGGAGAATTTTATCAAGGTGCAGCTGAGGGATGGAGACAGCAACTGTGGTGAGTGTGTGTGGTCCCATGCCAGCTGGGTTGGCTGGAGTGTGGAGCTGTGCTGTGGGTGCAGGTGTTGGTGTTTGAGCAGCGAGGAGAAGTCCTTGCATTTTCTGTTTGCAGAGGACTTTTCCTTCCTCCACACTTGCTTAAGGTTAGAGGAAGGCTTTGAAGCAGTCATAGAGTCAGGCTTAAATCAGACCAGCTGTATACTGTAGCCTAAAGCTGACCCACTGCAAGGCCTCCTGTCCTTTCAGAGTGCCTATGTGCTGTAGCCTTACAAAGGCCCATGTCTCCTCTCTTACAATTCTGTGCACCTTCTTAGAGCTGGAACAGGATCTGGGATGCAGGGGCGTTGCAGAAGCTTGCAAGCTTCAGGTGCTCTGTACTCCAAGGTTTCACCCTCCTTTGGGAGCCAAGGCATGTTCTTGCCCATACTGTGAAGCCACCTTCTGCCCAAGGTGGTGCAGACCACTCCTGCCTTCCAAACTCCCCACCCTCACCATTTTGAATTTCTTGGCAGAGTGGAGTGTGCTGTATGTTATCATTGCTACCTTTGTCATTGTTGTTGCCTTGGGAATCCTGTCTTGGACTGCAGTCTGTTGTTGCAAGAGGTAAGATGGAGTCTTCTTTGAAATTCACTTGGACTTCTTGTAACAAAATCCTTCCTCAGAGAGGTATTTGTCATCTTCCCCATGGAAAGACTTTGCAGGTTCATCAGTCACAGAGTGGTTTGGCCCACCCAAGGAAAGTTTTTCTCACTCTTGAACACTTGTGAGGGCAGAAGTGGTGTCAAGTGGTACTCAGCAGAGATTTGCAGTGTGAAACTGTGGTGGGAGAGGGGTGCAGGTTGGGTCATATCCAGGTGCGTGTTCTGTGATGCTCCACACCTTGGCCTCACAGTTAAATACAGGAGTTTTTGTTCTGCTTTCCTTTCTGGTTGGGAATTGGGTATGTATGTAGACTTAGGTTCGTGATAATTAACTATTCCACATTTTCACTTAAGTCTTCCTATCTAGTATAATATTTCATGGTTACATTTATTGTACATTTTTCATTATTACTAAGTTTGATTTCAGGAGATCATACTGAAATAATGAGCTGGGGATTTAGTTAGAGATGGAGTGCTTGTATGGCATGCAAATGCCTTGGGTTTGATACACAGCAGCACCACAAAAAAAGTATGATTTCTGTGTTTGCTATGTGTCACGATGACATTTGGTAGGTAGTATCTTTTTTTTTTTTGGCATACTTGGGTTTGAACTCATCGCATTGTACTAGCAATATCTTTTTTTATACCCACAACAGCCTTCTCCTATCTAATGGGTAAGAAGACTCACACTTAGGAAAATTGCATCATCTATTTGAGACCATAGTATGGGAGAGGGCTATGAATTAACCTGCAGTATTACCTCATCTGAAACTTAGAAAATTGAAAGAATTCAAAAAAATCTCCACCAGCCTGACACAACCCCAATGCAATTCTGTTGGTGCAACACTTCCCTCCTCGCACGCCCTCAAGCAGTTTTTGTCGTCTGTACATTTTTAACAGTCCTGTCCTCACTGCTGCTGTGGAGTAGTGAGTCCACACTAAGATGGTCATGGCTCTCTTGTCTTTCCCAGGATTGGTGAGGAACATTTTCTGAGGAACAAATCATAGTTGTCCGTTTCCCTGACTGAGAAGGGAGAAGAGACAGTCCTGCCATCAGGCAGCACCCCAGGCAGAATCTTGCATGCACTGATTCTGAGCCTCACACAGAACTGCTTTCCTAAGCAGGGGCGTGGATTGTTTTTTTTAGGCAAAAAGGAAAACCCAAGAGGAAAAGCAGGTACAAGATCCTAGATGCCACAGATCAGGAAAGCCTGGAGCTGAAGCCAGCCTCCCGAGCAGGTAGGACCCTGGGAACTGTAGCTCTCTGTGAAAAGCCACTGTTTTCTTCCACATGCTTGCTGTACAAGCATTTTGTTCCCTTGCCTGATGAAGACAGAGGGTACCCCTGATCTGGTAGGAGCCCCATGCTGGACTGCTTACAGCAGGGCTCACTTCCTGGTGTTCCTTTCCCTCTGTGGAGGTGCCAGGTCTCCTACATTCCTTTGCCTGCTTATTGCCAGGTTTGCTGCCTGAGATTCTGCTTCTCAAGCTACCCCACATGCTCAGGGTCAGGAGCCATGGTCCTTTATGTCTGAGCAGTCTGTCCTTTCAGGGAGAGATGAGATCAGAGCCAGTGTCTGCCAGCTTTCCTCCTTTCTAGCCTTCCACTCCCTCGTCTCCATCATTCGGCAGATCCACAGCTGCTGTCGCCATCTCAGGGCAGCTTCCCTGCTGCCTGTAGTTGCACAGGTCTGGCTGACAAGTGCCTGCCACTGGAAGGATTTTCTGCTGCACATGCCCCACAGTGATAGAGTGGTGGCACTGGGAGAGTTGGGGGGATTGTGGACCTCACTTTCTCACTGGGCTTGGTCACTGGGCCTGGTCATTCCCTCACCGAGAATGCCATAGGACATGTGTTTATGGGATGGCCACACTCCATATAATCTATTCCTAAATGTTCTGCTAGTGCACCTATGTTAACACAAAGTGTTTATTACCTTGTTGCTTAAAGCTTCCTGTTAGGGGGAGGACCAAGATGGGCTCTGCCCTCAGAGGATTTCAGTTGGGTAGGGGAGGAGACAGCTGCAGAGGGTGGGCATTCATCTCAGCCTGGGCTCTGTACCTAGTCAACTCAATTGAGTACTGTAGGCAGGGCCTATAGTAAGCCCAGGATGCCAGAGAAGCAGCTAGTGCACTCCTCCAGGAATATAGAACGACAAATGTGGGCAGTCCCCTCCACAGAGTGCCAAGGTGGTCTTTGTTGGCTTTTTTGTCTGTGTATATTTCCCATGAAATCTTCCCATGATTTACTTACTATTTTCAGCACAAAAGCTACAACATTTGGTTTGCTTCATGGCATTTGTGAGCTTACATCAGTTTGCCTTCTGAGGTCTTCCTCCTTGCTAATTTCCCTCTTTCCTAAATATGTGCTGCTGGTTCATATCTGTCTGGACAGCTCTTTCTCAACCACCCCTCACCGCCAACCTCCCAAAGTCATGCTCATGACTGATCATGAAAAGTTGTGATAATGAATAACAATTAAGCTGGGCCAATGGATGAGCAGTTAGCAGGCGAAGACAGCAGCAGACCTTGTTGCAGGTGGAAGGGCAAAGTCAGTGAGGCTGCTGCTGAAAGGGGCAGAGGGTATTCAAGGAGGTAGACGAAGTCCACATGCTGGACAGGCGAGCTGGGTGAGTGGCCCAAGACCAGGAGCAGGTCCTTGCTATGGGCTCCTTCTAAGAGTGGGGAGGTGTTTGTTAAGGGAGTGTGGAGCTGAGCATTTGTCCTAAAGATAATGAGGAAGTGGCACATTGAAAGTGCTACTTAGGAAAATTGGCCTGGTGACATGTAACCAAGGGGAGTTTTGCAGTGAGCCAAGGAGGAGGTGACAGTAGAGGAGCAAGCAAGGTGAAGGCTGACTTCCAATTCAAGAGACAGAGAAGGATAGTGCTATAGACAGAATCAGGACATCTGGTGCAGCAACAGTTTGGGTGAGAGATGAATTAAATTGATCTCAGCAGAACAGTCAGGACCGCAAGCACAGAGAGGGGATTCTACCAGCTGGTGAGGATCCACAAAGTGGGTCAAGGCCTTGACCAAGAAGAGCTCCAGGAGCCCAAGATGGGCCATCAGGGAGGGAGAGGATGCAATGAGGGGTGGAAGAGGAGGCTGGGAAGAGGGCTTGTTTGTGGCTGCAGTGGTCAGAGTCAGAATAATGACCCTGTGGAGGTTACGGGCCACTTGCAAAGCCAGAGCAGAATGGAGGTAGAGGCACAGCTGGGTGTGCCTCTTATTTAGGAGGCAGGTTGTGAGGAAACAGGCCCTAAGTTAAAAGACCTTTTCATAGTTGAGCCATGACAACTGGAGAAGCCTGACGAGGGCCAGGGCCTCTTTGGGTGGACTCCTATGCAGCCTACAGGCAGACATGCAGGTCCTGGTAGAGGTGAGGTTTCTGCGGATGACAGGGATTGGGCAGAAGAGGGAGCTGAGGTGGCAAGAGCTCTCATCCAAGGCAGAGGAAGGAAAGTGAGTGCTAGCACCTGAGGAGGTAGATGTGAGTGAGAACCCAACCCCAGCCCCTCAGGCTTTTGAGAAGGCAAGAGATCCACCTGGATTTGGTGTGGTTCTGACCAGCCAAATACCTGCTTTTGTTCTGGGGTGTGGATCGATAGATCCAGTTAGGGGTGAAGCTGCCACAAGACAAGAATGGAACTCAGGTGTAGGGCTTGAAAAATCCAGTGTAAGGAAGAGATTGGGGATATGAGACACAGAGAGGTGAGGTGGGTAGCAGGTAGCCCAAATGGAACCAGGCCAGACACAGGGAGCCTGGCGCTCTCTCTGGGCCCCCAGAGACCCATAGGCAATGTGGGAATGCCAGCCTTCTAGACACCAGCTCTACATTCCGCAGCTCTTGTTTTGGATCTGCTTTGTTTCATTACTGATTCTTTTTTTCAAAACTTCCTATTAAAGTATGTTAAGTTGAACCATATGAAATTGACATTTAACTTTTTGACCCATAAAACTAGTTTTCTTTCTTTCAACCTAATTTATACAGAAAATTATGAGTACAGCATGACAGGTCTTCACAGGTGGACACACCTATGTAATCAGTCCTGTAGGCCCTCTTTGTGTTTCTGCCCAGTCAGAGCTTGTGCCCTGCTCCCAAATTTACTGGTGTCTTGCAGTAGTTTATATGATGGACTGGCTCTCACTCAGCGTTACACTGATGACATTCATCTGTGTTCTATATAGTAGTAGTTCATTCATTCGTATTACTAATTTCCATTATATGAATGTATTTATTGATCACTTACGCTCTTGGTAGACACTGCATTCTTTCCATGTTTGGCCCTTAGGAATGCTGTAAACATTCTTGTCTTTGTCATTCAGCAAACATATGTATGGATTTCTGTTAGGTGTAGACCTGGGAACTGTGTCATATGGATTATATTCAGCTTTTGCTGATAGTTTGTGTCCAGCCTGTCATTGTCAGTGGGTAAAATTCACTCAATTTTTCAAGCCTAATAGTTGCTAGGGAGGAGGGCCTTGGGTAGGTGCTGGGGCTGGAGAGCTGAGGACAGCTTCCCTTCCCCCTCCCCCCCACCTCCTGTCCTTTGCATTTATGACCCAAGGGCTGGTAGAGAGAAAAGGAGGCTGTTACGGGTGTTGGGAGGAGAAAGCCCTAGAAGGATGCAGAAAGGCAGATGGGTATGGCATCTACAGAGGTGAAAGAGGACCTTTTCCTATGGCCACTGTCCCCACCACATTGGAGAGGTCCAGGTTGCCAGTGCTGTTCTACCCTAAGTCTCAGGGGAGGTTGTGCCTGCAGTCATGTCCAGGGTTGTACACCTTAGGTGGACAAGGCTGCATAAGCCCTAGACCTATGACATTTACAAAACTGCCCATGGGCAAGGTCAGCAGGAGGATATGATCCCCTCAGTCTAGAGGCCAGAGCACTCACAGGCCTAAATCAGGCTGGCCAGGAGAGGCAGAGTGGCTGAGAATTCTCTCAAGACACTATGTTTTGGAGAATGATGGTTTAAATGATGAGGTTCTGGGGCTACCGGGTTCAAACACAACTCATCTTGATTGGCCACCTTTTTAAGAAAAGAGGGAAGATAGTTCCTGAGATGGGCAGTGCTAGGGTCCAGAACACTGCCAGGATGGGGTCTCCCCATTGGTGATTCCTACTTCTAGCCTCCCCTTTGCTTTCTCCTGAGTATTTTATACCAACCAGAGGGCAGCCATCTTGCTGCTGAATGGAATCTGCCCCAAAGGTATTGCCAGACCACTTTGTAAGGCCCTGACCTCTCTGCAGCCAGAGGGATAAGTAGTAGAGGTGGCTGCAGGCTTGCAGCATCTCAGGCATCTTTTCTGGCCCAGGTGCTTTTCAGGGTCCTTGTTTTGTGTGTTCTGATGAGCTGGCTGCTTGGGACTATCTCTAAGTCCACACATCACTCAGGCTCTCTGAGCAGACTCTGTGTGTGCTCCCAGGGAAGCCAGAGCAAATCGAGAGCCTAGAAGGCAAACGTTTATGTGGGGCAAGATTGCATCCTCACAGCCAGGGGCTCTATGTCCATGCAGAGCCAAGAGACGACTCAAAGCTTTCTCTGGGGTCTCAGGTTCTCTGTGCTTTCCTACCTTCCACCTCACTCCATCCATTTCACAAAGGGCTTGTGATAAAACACTCCAAATCCAAAAAGGAAACAGAATGCCAGTGACACTTACCACAATTCTTGGAGCCCAAGTCTGATCCCTAGACTTCCCTCCCAGAACTGTTCCCTTCTCTTCCTCTCCTCCACCTACTCACCCAGGCTAGCACTGGGAGGATGGCCATCTGTCCCTAGAGAGGGAACCATGGCTTTCCTTGTCCCTTGGCTCCTCTTCAGGCTGAGATGAGGGTGGGCCTGTGGCTCAGGCGTCCTGATGCTGGGGTTCTCATCTTCCTTGCAGGCTTCAAACAGAAAGGTCCCATGCTGAGCAGCAGCCTGATGCACTCTGAGTCGGAGTTGGACAGTGATGACGCCATCTTCACATGGCCAGACCGGGAAAAGGGCAAACTCCTACATGGTCAGAACGGCTCTGTGCCCAATGGGCAGACCCCACTGAAGGCCAGGAGCCCACGGGAGGAGATCTTGTAGCCACCTGGTCTGTCTCTCAGGGTAGGAGTTGGCAGTGCTAGGAACCAGAGCACTGCCAGGCTGGTTCCCTACCTCCCAAGTCTGCAGGGGCTGTTCTCCCAGCATCTGCTGGTCACTCCACCCCAATACTCCCACCCAGAACTGCTGGTACTTGAATCCACAGACACTCCAAGAACCCCTGAACAAAGCTGTGAATGAAGAGGTTTCCTCTTTAAACCTATCTGGTGGGCCCCCTCAAATATCCTCACCTCAGGGCCTCCTTTTTTGCACGCCCCCTTCTTCCCAGCCCAAAGGCAGACAGCCAGCTCCTGGCCTCTGCTGAGCTGTGCTGTGGGGCCTCGAGTGCACCCAGCCTGCTGTGCCTCCCTTGCACCTGGCACAGAACTAAGTACCATCAGTCTCCTGGCCCCAGGGGCCTGGCCAAGGACATGCTCTTGTCTCTTTGGGAGGAGGGTGTGTCCCTCTGCTAGGCCAAGAGGAAGTGGCATCACAGCCCACACTGACACTACAGTGATAATGCAGGAATGCCGCCTGGTCCTTCAGCACTGGAGCCCACTTTGGGACTGGTTCAGGGATGCTAGGGGCCTTTCTGGCTGTTGTGGATGATGTGTCAGAACAGCCAGGCTGTATGCAGATAGTCTCCCTTCCTCTTCCTCTGACCAGCACCTGCTGCTTCAGGAAGTGCCACTTAGGCCACTACTCCATGTCCCCAGAGGAGACAGCCACAGATAAGACGAAATGTGGCATGAGAGTGCATGTATGTGACTGCCCCACTGTGATCCCCTCCGTCTCTGTCTTTTCTCTGTGTCCCTTGCACGTGTGTGTTGGGTGAGCGTGTGTGCATCAGTTCCTCATAGGGCTCTTGACTGCTCAAGGCAGCTTTGCCATAGAGACACTCTGGCTCCATGGAAAACTTCAGAATCCCTCTGGCCCTGTCACTAGCTTCTTAGCCATGGTGGCTGGGATTGAGGAATGGGAACTTTGGGGGAGTGACTTTTTAAAAAGACTTACAATTTCTACTACTGCACTACAGTTGTGAAACAATTAAACATGCTATTTAATTGTGCGTCCGCCTGTGGGTGTGCTTCGTCACATCTCTGACCTGTGTCACAGTATCCACCATGGATGCAGACCTGCCAGGTCATTGCCTCTGACAGACAATCTTGGGTGTGCTGCCAGTACATGCTAGCGGTTCTGGGCTGCTGCCTGATCTGGTGGGTGGGCTTATACCCACCTAGCCAACCACTGCTGTCCTTTAGCTTTAAGGGGAATTTTTGTCCTTTTCATACCTTTTGTTAGCACAAAATGACTTATGGCTCCTGTGGCCAAGGCAGGGGACATAGTGTCCTAAGATACAGGGTATGCCCTTCAGAATTTCTGGCCAATGTTCTTCCCTTTTGGGTCCCAGCTGGGGTTGGCCATGCCCCAAATGTGTTCATGGATCACTTTGGTGGGATGTGTAGCATGAGAGACAAGGGCCACTGAGCTTATGCTCTGCCCCTCCCTGTGCACAAAACCCAGCAGTAGCTGTTTGTCCCTGGACAGATATAGAAGCGCAGAAAAAGTGAGGTGAAGTGACACAGTCCATGCAGATGGAGCCCAGCAGAGCCCCTGCTCACTGTCAGTGCTTTTTGAACATTAGTGTGGGGGTTTTATTATTTTTTTGGTGGTACTGGGGTCTGAACACAGGGCTTCATGCTCTGCCTCTGAGTCACACCTCCAGCTCTGCATTGATTAGTTTTAAGATAGGGTCTCACTTTATGCCTGGGCTGGCTTGACCCTAATCCTCCTATTTACATCTCTCTTACAGCTGGAGTGGCAGGCATATGCCACTATGTCAAGCTTTTATTGGTTGAGACTGGGGTCTCGTGGACTTTTTGCCTGCGCTGGCCTTAAGTACTGATTCTCTTAATCATCTCTGACTCCCAGGTAGCTGGAATTACAGGCTTGAGACACCATGCCTGACTGAGAGGTTTTCTTAAATTCTTAAAATACAGCACTGGGGTTCTGATTCAGGTCTGGGATGGACACGAGAATGCCAGTTCAAACAAAGACCCAGCAAATTCGGGTGCTGCAAGCCTGGGGCCCCACACTGAGGACCTCAAAGTGAGAAGAATGTTCTCAGTGCCATATGCACACAAGGGTGCAGATGGAGGAAAGACATTTAAAGAAAGAAAGGCGAGCTGGGCCGGGCGGCAGTGGCTCATGCTTGTAATCCTAGCCACTCAAGAGGTAGAGATCAGGAGAATCACGGTTCAAAGCCAGCCTGGGCAAACAGTTCACAAGACTATCTTGAAAACCCTTCACAGAAAAGGGCTGGGGGAGTGGCTCAAGGTGTAGTCCCTGGGTTCAAATCCCAGCACTGCAAAAAAAAAAAAAAGTGAGCTCAAATTTTCTAAGCTATAAGCCAGACTTGCTTGGTCAGGGTGGGATGGGCATGGCCACAAAAGGCAGATTTGGGAGTGGCCAGATGGGAAAGTTGTTCTGCACAAGCTACCAGCAGAAACAGAAACAGTGCAGCTAGGCTGGGTGGGATCAACATACATGGGCAGGGAGGTAGTAGATCTTGGTGGGGCTGGTGTGCTGGGAAGGATTTGAAGCTCTGAAGGATTCAGGACAGAGCTGCAGGGCATGACAGCTTACTGGTTTTGGAGAGAGGCTTCCTCTTGGCCTCAACTCTTATCTCAGCCACTGTCCAGTGAGGAATGTATTTTTATCATCTCAGTTTCAGAGACGAAAACAATGCTTTGTCTCTTCTGTCAAAAAACTCCAGGAACTGACACTGCTTTATAGCCTTGGAGTTTTGGATTGAGAAGACTATGATTGTTGTCCACTAGTGTGAGTTGCCTATGTACAGTCAGGCCACTTCACTCCAGTCCACAGCAGCCCTTTTAAGTTGTGTTAAATTTCGGGAGTCATCTGTTAGCCCCACACTTAGCTTGATTAAATGCTCCTCTACTTCCCTAAAGGTCTCCCAGACTTTTATTTTCTAGAGTGGCCAGGAATGTGGCCAACAGGAGACTTCTTAACTGTGCACTGTGTGTGAGAAGAAAGTCACTAGGGGGTAACATCCCAGACAGCCCTGGGAGGGTGGGAGAGAGGGTCACAGCTGGGGCCTCTCAGATGGGAGAGGCAACTGCGAGGCTCTGACCCCTGTGATCCCAGCTTCCCTCTATCTGGTGAGCAACAGGATCTTGTCTTGACTGGTTTCAGGGCCCCTGTTGTAACTTCTCCCTCCTTCCTAGTCCCCAGTGTGTGTGGGGCAGGCGGTGGCAACCTAACATCTATGTTGTGACTGTCCATTCCTGTGTTTCCCCACACAGGGCCTGGACAGGGTGTGTGACAATATCCAAGTGCTGACAAACACCCCCCCACCCCGCTCAGGGTATTGATTAGGCTCCCTTAGTCGCAAGAACAAAACTAAAACTAAAGTTCCGTTACCCAGTTCTCAGACACACACTAACTGCTCGCAAATTACTGCCATGCCTAGGCCCACCTTCATTTCTAATCAACCAACACACTGACATTGGTGGTCCTCACTCTGGCTATCAATTAGAATTACTTGGGAACTCTTAGAAAGCACCAAGGCCTGGACCCTACACCCCAAAGGTTATTTTGATTTTTGAGAATTTACACTGATCTTTTATTAATTCCTCAGATACTCTGTGTAGTCATATCATGCCCTTAAGCAGCTCAGCTCTAAAAGACTTGCAAACCAAGGGCTGGACATGTGGCTTAAGTGATAGAGTGCCTGCCTAGCTCATGACCCTGCTGAGCCCATGAGGACACATGGGCTGCGGGAAGGCATTTGGAGAAGTAGGAGGCGTATCATTCTAGGTCACATGCTTTTTGTTCTCTTTCTAAAGAGCAGACAGTAACACCTTAGACCCTCCCTTAGGGGCAGTAAGCACAGGACCTGGAGCAGGGGGTAGCTTTACCTGCAGTTATGGGTTTGGGAGGACCCCCCTTTCTACCCATACTGGTGAGGAGGGAGGTATCTCACCTGTTCCTATTGTCCTGTAATCCAGAAAACTGAGCTCACTTTCAAATGCCAATTTTTGTGATCTCGATGAAAGGAAGAGCCAGGACAAATCCGATGCAAAAAGTGTTTAATCCCAACTTTGTGCCATTAAGTGGATGCAGCATTCAGTCCTCTTCAGCTGGAAATACGGCTACATTACCTTTGTAATCTGCCACTCACCACCCACACCTGGAACCTCTGAGGGAGCCCAGTGACCTTAAAGAGAATGTCAGCAAACACCTGGAATCAACAAGGCGCCTGGTCGGAACAGCAGTTGCCCCAAAAGGGTAGTCAAATTGGGGGAACACTCATGGTCACATTTTCCTTGGTATTTATTAGATGGCTAAATAAAGCATTACAACAGATAAAGTGCCATCCCTTTGGAGTAGCTTTAGCTTTTTCCCAGGTAATGCCCTCTGTCTTCAGGTAGAACTTAGGGGCCTAGAATTTCTTCCCCTCTGAAAGGCAGAGCTGTTTGAGGCCCTAACATCTTCAAGCGCAATTTACATTCTATCCAGCACCCACTGTTTTGTCTCCCACCTCCTTGCAAGTTCATAAAGCTGAAGCTGTATCTTATGTTTTGTAATACCCTGACCTCTAACTGAGCACACCATATTAAACATCTTGTGATAACTAAGTGATCGGGAACAGCCAATACCTAATAAACTTCCTATCCTGATTTGTTACATGGACGTCAATAGCCTCTGATGAAGAGAGATCCTGTCAGCATACCCATAAGTACCCATTAATGGATAGCAGTAGAGATATTCAGAAACTAAATATGGCTGTCTTTAGGAAAGAATACTGTACACCATTTAATCCCTAACTCATCTCAGAAGTCCCAAGATATCACTCTCAAAGCATGAAGCACTTTTAAAGATGGTCTTCTTTGGAAATATTAAATATCATATTCTTCTTTGGAAAAACAATGTCAACATCAGCATTTCAGAAACACCAATGTGAAGTTACTCATCCTCACATCCCTCGCCCTACTACAGGGGTGGCAATGCATTTACATACAACAGGCATGGTGGAGTGCCAGGAGCACAGGAGGACACAGGCCAACAATCCATGAGATGTGAAGAGGTGGCTGCTCAAAGGAAAACGCCCACAATCTGGTTACATCTACCAGCAGAGGGATGCTCCAATGGAATGTGGGCTAGTAAGTTCCAGATATCACTACTTGGGAACAGAATAAAGAGATGTAATTAAAATACTGGCCAATAACATGCAAGGGGGGGAGCAGAATGGTGACTAAAAGTAATATAAGGTCTTTCTGTAGGAGGGTACTGCTTAATTTTAGAGTTTAAGTCACATATTCTTGTTATAAATGGTGACACACTAAAAATTCAGAACTAGAATATATGAAAAAGTATTTCAATCAACCAATCAGAAAACAAGGATGGAGGGGAAAAATTATTAAAAAATCTCACTACCTAATAGGCAGAACTTGTCAGATTGGATATGAAAACAACCACCACAAAAATAACAGACTTGACAGAACTGTAAATCTCTATAAGAGAGGCAACTAAAATATAGAGATTGAAAATAAAAGGACAATAGAAAATGTAGTAGAGCTTTGGTTCCTATTAAGACAGGAGGTAGCTTAACAGAGAAAAACTGAAACCATTCCCTCTAAAATCAGGAACCAGACAAGGATGCCCACTATCTCCACTCCTATTCAACATAGTACTGGAATTCCTAGCCAGAGCAATTAGGCAAGAAGAAGGAATAAAAGGAATACAAATAGGTAAAGAAACTGTCAAAATATCCCTATTTGCAGATGACATGATCCTATACCTTAAAGACCCAAAAAACTCTACTCAGAAGCTTCTAGACATCATCAATAGCTACAGCAAGGTAGCAGGATATAAAATCAACATAGAAAAATCATTAGCATTTCTATACACTAACAATGCGCAAACGGAAAAAGAATGTATGAAAACAATTCCATTTACAATAGCCTCAAAAAAAATCAAATACCTAGGTGTAAACCTAACAAAAGATGTGAATGACCTCTACAAGGAAAACTATACACTTCTGAAGAAAGAGATTGAGGAAGACTATAGAAAGTGGAGAGATCTTCCATGCTCATGGATTGGTAGAATCAACATAGTAAAAATGTCGATACTCCCAAAAGTAATCTACATGTTTAATGCAATTCCCATCAAAATTCCAATGACATTCATTAAAGAGATTGAAAAATCTACTGTGAAATTTATATGGAAACACAAGAGGCCACGAATAGCCAAGGCAATACTCAGTCAAAAGAACAATGCAGGAGGTATCACAGTATCTGACTTCAAACTATATTACAAAGCAATAACAATAAAAACAGCATGGTACTGGCACAAAAACAGACATGAAGACCAGTGGAACAGAACAGAGAACCCAGATAAGAAGCCACACAACTATAACCAACTTGTCTTTGACAAAGGAGCTAAAAATATATGATGAAGAAATAGCAGCCTCTTCAACAAAAACTGCTGGGAAAACTGGTTAGCGTCTGCAAAAAACTGAAACTAGATCCATGTATATCACCCTATACCAGTATTAACTCACAATGGATCAAGGATCTTAATATCAGACCCCAAACTCTTAAGTTGATACAGGAAAGAGTAGGAAATACTCT